TGTTTTCTTTTTGGAAGAAAGTAGGATGAAAACTGATAGTCATTCTCTATTCTATCTCTGTCAAAGATAATTGTTATTCAGGCATGGTGGTACAGCACTATGTAGCTTGAGCTACACAGCAGGCCCTGTCTCAAATCAAACCAAGAAACAAAAAGATGATTGCTAATGATCAAACTTTTCAGATCATTTCAGATGATCTCCACTCCTTTAGTGAAAGGATCCATCACATCCATCCCAGGGGACCACAAAGGAGGCAGGCAGGCACAGGAGAAAGATTGTCATTAGAGAGGGAGCTCACATGGCACCCTTCACTACCTAGGTAGCAGCAGGGTCTAGGGGTAGGAAGTGAGGTAGATGGGAGCTCAGGTGGGTCTGGGTAGAGAGAGGGAGGAGCCAGCTGTCTTGCAGGAACTGCAGGGCTGGGAGGAGCTCAGGTCTGTGTGGAGCTGAAGACCAAAGGTGGGCATAATGCTTACACTTAGTGATAAGATTATTTGTAGACTGTTACCACTCAAAGCTGATAAGAGCTCCAGAAGATTGTACATTAATGTTTGCAGAACACTGCTTCAACAAGCAAGAATTATCTCTTGCTTCCTTAACTGGTTATCAAGGAACAGCTGGATTTCATTTCCGTTTTCTCTAAGCATTCCTTGTTCACCTTGCCCCTAGCTAACTGCGGAAAGAGTGAGCGTTCTTACCCTGCTGCGGTGCTGACTCAAAGCTCCATTTCCAAGGGCTGACTCATTGTTGGTATGTCTAGGATGCCTTCGCCTCAGGGGTGCAGTAGTGTGGGTGGAGAGGAAGGAACTTGCCCAGGTTATCTTAACCAGCAGGTGGAGCCTAGCATAGACACAAGGCACAGCAGGGAAAGCAGAAGTTTTCAGGTTCTTGCTTTATCTCCTACGAGTAGAATTTTTAGAAAGCTTAACTTCTCTGATCGAGTTCCTCATTTATAAAATAAAAAATAAAGATACCTTACTGAGAAGATTGTTGTAAGCACCCCATAAGGTGCTTATGGGGATTCCTGGCACAGTTAGTGCCCACCGTTTTCCTTTGTCTCTGTTTAAGGATGGCTGAGTTTTATTGTCAGCCCTCCCTCTTCCCCTTGAGACTAAGACAGAGGTAAACATTTTGTCTATTGTTGTTTACAAAGTCCTAACTAGCCTTTTGAAAATACTAATAACCCTTTGTGCCAGGATGAAAGCTGGCATTGATACCATTTGTGCAGATGCTAGAACTGCAGGCTGCAGAGCCCCAGGAGGGAAGCCGTCTGTGCAGTTGAAGGATCATACAATCCTAGTTTTCATTGGCAAAGGTGCAAGATGGTGAGAGCTAAAGGAAAGAAAAATATGTCTCCTAAAGAAGGCACTCCTAATATGTGGAAGGGGAATGTACACTATCTTGCTGCTGATTCTTAAGGAGCAGCATGCTCTCCTACCCAGCATTCCACTGAACCCAGCTCATAGGGACAGCCTTCTTACTTGATTTGTGTCTGTATTTAAGTGCTTGCTGGCACATTTTTTTCTTCATGTTTAGAAGCAGAGAGTATTGTCACTTTGGACCTCACGACACTTTAGGCTTTTTCTGACCCTGAGGCTCCTTGGCAGGCCTACCTACGATAAGATTTGTCCTGCTTTTTAGGGAATAAAGATGGTGGGTTGGAAAAGCAATTTCTAGAAATAGACTAACATGACGGTCTTTAGTTTTAAGAGAGAATTTTGCTGTGGAGCCCAGGCAGGCCTTGAATTCACCATTCACTTGTCTCTGCATTCTGAGTACTAGTAAAATGTCTGTCTTTTGAAGGAAGAACTATGAATAAAATAAAATAAATTTTCACTACTATTATTGTTAAACTTTCTAAATGAGCATGTATTGCTTTTATAATGGGAAAACCTTTTGAGATTGACACCTTAAAAACTGACAACTAATAAAGTCTAAATGAAAAGTAGCCACAGCTTGAAATGTGGTTAATAAGCACAAAATAAGTAAATACCAGTTTTGTCTTTTTCTATTTTTCTTTAGTGCTGGGGTTTGACCCAAGGGCCTTGTGCACCTAGACAAGCACACTACCACTGAGCTATCCCCTCTCACTTTTGAATTTTGATCTTTTTCTGGGCTGGTGATATAAAATCTATATCTTAACATGCTGTGCTGAGGTAGCAAGCCACAGCTTCTAGGCAGCAATGTGATAATGAGGGTCAGTAATTGATATTCCACATTGATTGAACTGCTAAGCTATGATGTTTGCTAGGTAGGTGGGTTAAATGTGTTTTGACTTAAAAGATTCTCAGCTTACACTGGGTTTTTAGAACATAACCTTCTTTCAGTAGGATGTCTTTTGAATCTTTTCTTAATTTCTACCAATTGGAAGTAATTGCTTCTCCTTTAAATTCTATTATTTTATTGGATCACTGTCATCTTGTCACCAGGGTTTTCGGCAGCTTCCCATTTTCCACACAAAATCAGAGGTCCCTGAGATTTGTACTTGAAAAACATTTCAAGGTGTCACAAAAAGGAGTCTTGGGGCTGGGAAGGTGGCTCAATGGTAGAGTGCTTGTCTAGCATGCATGAAGCCCTGGGTTCAATTCCTCAGTACCACTTACACAGAAAAAAACAGAACTGGGGCTGTGGTTCAGGTGGTAGAGTGCTATCCTTGAGCAAAAGAAGCTCAGGGAGAGTGCCCAGGCCCTGTATTCAAGCCTCAGGACTAGCACAAAAAAAAAAAAAAAAAAGGAGTCTTACAAGGTGAAAGTTTTATCAGGATTTATTTTAGCATAACAGGTTAAAATAGAGCCAAAGAGAAACATTTCCTGCTCCCCATGTAGGAAATAGGAATTAAAGACTCAAAATGGCAGCTGTTACCTCCTTGTAACTTAGCATTTAAATAGTAGAGGGGAGCTTGTTAACTGCCCTGTCAGTTGCTTTCTGGTTTCAACTTATAGTCCAGGAGGACAAAGAAATTTCAGAATAAAAATTCTCTTACTGGAAAAAAAAAAAATTTTGTCTCCTCACCTCTTCTGCCACAATTTCTCTCTCCTTAACCCTTTGACTGGGGTTTTGAACTCAGGGCTTTGTGCTTGCTAAGCATATGCTCTGCTGCTTGAGCCACATCTCCAGTCATATTTGCTCTGGTTATTTTTCCTTTTTTGAGATAGTCTTGCTCTTTGGACTGCAGTCCTCCTTATTTATGCTTGTCATCATAACTGGGATAACTGATGTGAACTACCACATCTACCTTTTTCTGTTGCTATCAGGTCTTATGAATTTTTGCCCCTCCTGGCATGATACTGTAGTCCTTAGTCCTGATCTTAGCCTCCTGAAGTAGCTAAGATTATAAGCATAAGTGCCTGCACCTGGCCTATCCTACCCACTCCTAGAAGGTAGATAATTTTTTTTTTGGGGGGGGGGGAGGACAGGTCCGGTCGTGGGGCCTGAACTCTGGGCGCTGTCCCTCAGCTCTTCAGCTCAAGGCTAGCACTCTACCACTTGAGCCACAGCCCCACTTCCAGCTTTTTTCTTTTTGCTTATGTGGTGCTGAGGAATCGAACCCAGGGCCACATGCATGCAAGGCAAGTGCTCTACCACTGAGCCACCTTCCCAGCCCAGATAATTTTTTTTTTCTTTTAATATTAATACCAGAGCTTGAACTCTGGTTTCCTTTTTCAGGGCTGCCTCTTTAGCACTTGAGCCACTTTTCCAGCCCAGCATTTTGCTGGTTGATTGTAGATGGAATCTAGTCTCAGTTTTCAGCCTAGGCTGGCTGTGTGTGTGTGTGTGTGTGTGTGTGTGTGTGTGTGTGTGTGTGTGTGTGTGTGTGTGTGTGTGTGTGTGTGTGTGTGTGTGTGTGTGTGTGTGTGTGTGTGTGTGTGTGTGTGTGTGTGTGTGTGTGTGTGTGTGTCTCCATGCATCTGTCCTGGTGTGGTTTTCAGCCTAGGCTTGGCTGTGTGTGTCTGTGTGTGTGTGTCTGTGTGTCTCCATGCATCTGTCCTGGTGTGTGTGTGTGTGTCCATGCATCTGTCCTTGTGTGTGTGTCCATGCATCTGTCCTGGGGCTTAAACTCAGGGCATGGGCACTGTCCCTAACCTTTTTTGCTCAAGGCTAGTATTCTGCCACTTGAGCTATATAGTTCTGCTACTTGCTTTTTGGTGGTTAATTGGAGATAAGAGTCTCATGGATAGACTTTCCTGCCCTGGCTGGCTTTGAACCACCATCCTCAGATTTCAGCCTCCCATGTAGCTGGGCATGAATCAACAACACCTGGCCTTAGGCTGCCTACTAACTGTGATCTCCTAGGTCTCCACCTAGTAGGAATAGCTAAGATTTCTATAATAAATAGCTAGAATTTTAGGCATTAGCCAAAGATGCCTGGCTCTCTCACTACCAACATCACCCCTCCTCTTCCTCCTTTTACTCCTTTTTCTTCCCTTTTCTCATCCTCTTCCTCCTCCTCTTCGGCTTTCCCCTCCTTTTTGCAAATACTGGGGTTTGAACATAGGGCCTGGATCTCTTGAGTATCCTCACAATTTGCTAATTATCTTCCTCCAGATACAGTTCAAGACTGTAGTGCCATGAAGCAGAAACTATAATGCCTTTGGTAATATAGCTTCAGAAGTCACATACTATTGCATCTACTGTACTGTTAGTTATACAGATCATCCTTTGGGTGGGAGATTGTACATGAGTGTGAATATCCGAAGTCAGGGATCACTGGACTCATAGGAGGCTATCTTGGAGACTGGCTGCCATACTCTTCAGTGCTTCGAGTCTCTAATGAAAGGTGTTCATTCTCTTTTTCATTGTCATTACTAAATGAGAGTGTTATCCTACATTAACCTTCTAATTTTGACCCTCTTTAATCCATCCTTTAAATGGTTGCTGCTAGAAATATAGCTCTGAGTATATGGTTCCCTTATTTAGCCATTCAAACACTGGATGAGTATAGTGTGACTAGTATTTTTCCAGTTCTAGCTTAAGCATTTTTCTTCTCTTTTCTGTTTCAGAGTTACTGATTGAGTTTTGAGACTCCTATACTCTCATCTGCCCTCATGGATGAACTTCAGGACGTTCAACTCACAGAAATCAAACCACTTCTAAATGATAAGGTAAACACCACTTTTTTTTTCACAAGAATGTAAGCAAGTGTTTATACTGTCATTAGTTCATTTTCTATATTATCAGAATAGTAATGAACTCAGAACATTTAGCTTTACTTCCAATGGAGGGAATATTTTCTTAAATGCATTTTTTTCTTAAATTTTTTATTAGTATGCTTTAGTTGTACAGTGTATCACAATCAACTTTTCCCACCCCATATCACTCTCTGCAACTCCCTCCTTAAGACAATTTCTATAGGTTTCATTGTTGTTTTTATACATGTGAAGAAACTATGCTCACTATATTCTAATTTACCCTCTTCCTTAACCCTCTCGTCCAAATAATATTTCTTAACCCACTCTTTGATGTCTTCCCTCCTTTTTCTTTCTTTCTTTTTTCTTTTTTTTTTCTTTTTTCTGTTGGTCTGACCCTGGGTGCTGTCCCTCAGCTCTTCAGCTCAAGGCTAGCGCTCTACCACTTGAGCCACAGCGCTTTTTCTGCTTATGTGTTGCTGAGGAATCGAACCCAGGGCCTCATGCATGCAAGGCAAGCACTCTACCACTGAGCCACCTTCCCAGCCCCCTTTTCTCTCTTACTTTTATTTTTTCAAGCTAAATCAGTCATCTTTGAACTTTTCCTCTTGTATAGATGGAAATCTTAAATGAAAAAATAATATGGCAAGTTTAAGTAGGAACTAATATAAGTAATATTTGATTTTTGAATCCAGGTGCCCTGGTTTGCAGTTTCTATAAGGAAAAGTTAACATGTAATGTATACAGACTTCATTTACTCTCTTTAGAGTTTGTCAAGTTTATGATATGACCATTCTTTCAACATCACTTTTTACCAGAGATGCTCAGATGTCAGTAGTATACCTTACTTTTTTTTTTTTTTTGGTCCGGTCGTGGGGCCTGAACTCTGGGCCTAGGCTCTGTCCCTCAGCTCTTCAGCTCAAGGATAGTACTCTACCACTTGAGCCACAGCGCCACTTCCGGCTTTTTTCTTTTTGCTTATGTGGTGCTGAGGAATCGAACCCAGGGCCTCAGGCATGCAAGGCAAGTGCTCTACCACTAAGCCACCTTCCCAGCCCCTACCTTACTTTTATGTTAGTGTTAAAGAACTTTGTTGAATGTCATATAGTTCATAGACACAGGTACTCAGCAAGTACAGTGGTGTCATACAAGGCATCAAAAAATCTGTGTGTACAGTGGATCACTCCTGTAATCTCAGGTACTTAGGAGGCATAGATCAGAAGGATCTCAGTCTGAGGCTCATCTAAGGCAAAAGTACATGACCCTAGCCAAAAAGTTTCTAAAGCAAAAGAAAGGGCCGAGGTATGGCTCAAGTGGTAATGCCCCTACCTAGCAAGCATGAGGCCCTGAGTTCAAACCCCAGTACCACCATCAAAAAATAAATAAACAAAAGCCAGTTGTAGTGCTTCGTGCTTGTAAACCTAGCTACTAAAGATGTGGAGGGCTGGGAAGGTGGCTCAGGGGTAGAGCGCTCACCTCGCAGGCCTGAGGCCCCGGGTTCGGTTCCTCAGCACCACATAAGCAGGAAAAGCCGGAAGTGGCGCTGTGGCTCAAGTAGAGCGCTAGCCTTGAGCTGAAGAGCTGAGGGACAGCGCCCAGGCCCCACGACCGACAAAAGAAACGAAAAAAAAAATTCACCTCGCCTAAAGATGTGGAAATGGGAGAATTTCAGTTCAAGGCCAGCCTGAACCACTCACTAGATAGTTAATGAGACCCCATCTTATGAAATAAAAGTAAGACATGGGTTGGGCACTGACGGTTCACACTTTTAATAAAAGCTATATCAAGACTCTAAGATCAGGAGGCTTGTAGTTTAGACCAACCTGAAAAGGTTTGCTATACTCCATCTTCAAAATAACCAGCTAAAAACAGGGTTGGAGGCATGGCTCAAGTGGGAGAGCACTAGCCTAGCAAATGCAAGGCCTTGAGTTTAAAACCTAGTACTGCCCAAAAAGCTGGGGTGGGGGCAAGTCAGGTTGATGTGCATATCTCATTTTAGCTCATGAGGGAAGTGAAAATAGGAAAATCTCAATCCAGGCTAGTCATAAATTCAAGACCCAACTAGAAAAATAATTGAAAAATGAAAAGGATAGAGGCATGGCTTAAATGTTATATATAGCACCTCCTTAGCAAGTACTAGGACCTGTGTTCAAACCCCACTGTACCCACCCCTAAAAAATGTTAAGACAAGTTGATCTTTCTTGTCCTGTGTTCAGTAACTATGTCAGAAATTCCTTCTTTTCTATCCTATTCTTTGGTCTTATTGTCTTTTTACCCTATTAAACTCTTATAGTTTGGCACAATCCATAGTAACCTTTACGTGAAGAATCAATGGAGTGTAAAAGTAGGGTGGGTAAAAAATGAGGGCACCAGAATATGTGGTTGTCATTATTTTTTTTCTGCCCAAAGTAAGATCCTTCCTAATGTTCAGTGTTGTGAATTTGCTATTGGACCCTGCCAATCCACTTTTCATCCCTGTGACTTTCTCTCTCATATTTTTGTCATTTCTTTATTCTCTACCAGATGTCTTGCTCTCTCCTTTGGCAAGCTGCACACTTTAAAAAAAAAATCCCAATTTGGTTCTTCTGCTGAGTCCCTCACATTTCAAGAAAATGCTCTCCTTTTTATCTTTTTTGTATAAATGAGCTACTGTCACCAAAATGATGTGTCATAAAGAGGAGGACAGAAATCAAATCTGTAGCCCTAAAACTCAGGTCTGGCCATAGAAATAAATACACAAAGTACTGGTGAAAGCAAATGGTTTAGCCTCAAAAAGAGAGTTATAAGCCTGTCTAGCCATTAGAATCAGCTGAAGGATTGTTTTAAAAAATGCAGAGTCCTGGGTCCCACTATAACCCAACTAAATCAAAACCTAAGAGCTGTGACCAGGACACACTGTTGTCATTGATTCTCAGCTTTGTCTTCTCATTGGAATTATGTAGTGAGGTGTAAATATTACTGACACTTGGGTCTTCCCACCTTCCCAGTATCTGACAGAATTGGTATGGGATGTAGTTGAACTTTTTTTTTTTTTTGGTCTGACATGGGACTTGAACTCTGGGCCCAGGCGCTGTCCCTCAGCATTTCAGCTCAAGGCGAGCACTCTACCACTTGAACCACAGCACCACTTCCGATTTTCTCTCAGTTAATTGGAGATAAGCGTCTCATGGACTTTCCTGCTTATGCTGGCTTTGAACCACGATCCTCAGATCTCAGCCTCCTGAGTGGCTAGGATTACAGGTGTAAGCAACCAGTGCCTGGCACTTTGTGTGTGCGTGTGCGCGTGTGTGCCAGTCCTAGGGCTTGAACTTAGGGGCTGGCTTTGAACCACAATCCTCCAATCTCAGCCTCTTGACTAGATAGAATTACAGGCTTGAACCTGGATCTTTTTTTTTTTTCTGGTCCTGGGACTTGAACTCAGGGCCTCAACTCTGTCCCTGAGCCTTTTGTGGTCAAGACTAGCACTGTACCACTTGAGCCATAGTGCCACTTCCTCTTTTTCTTTTTCAAGATGTATTTATTTATTTTATTATTTATTTATTTATTTTATTTCAGTACTGGGAATTGAACTCAAAACCTCATACTTGTTAGGCAAGTACCCTACCACTGAGCCACACCCTCCCTCAGACATTTTATTTTATTACTTTATTTTTTCTATCTATCTATCTATCTATCTATCTATCTGATTAGCATCTATCTCTGTAGCTCTGGCCTTCAACTCTTGGTTGTCCTGCTTCTGCCTTCTAAGTGTTGAGATTATAGATTGTAAGCCACCATGCCCTGCCATTGGAAAAGCCTTTTTTTTTTTTAAACTCCCCTCCCTAGGCTGGACATAGAGTGATTCATTTTAGCCAGTATTGGAAACTCATGACATGATAGAGCTCACATATTTGAGAACTGACACAGAAATAAGAAGCCAATTTTTCCTTGACTCTGGAAGTCTACAGGATGCCCAAAGAGGCTCCTAAATGAAAGATTTGCAGGAGTGGATTTCCTGAATATCTCACAGAAAAGGCAACTGGAAAAGGAAAGGATTAGTAGATATACTGATAGAAAAACACTGGATTTAATGTCTTTGTCTCCATCTGAGGCCATAGGGCTGCTTTGGCTATATCCAGCATATACTCTAATGCTATGAATTGAATGGTATTCCTCCCGAATTTATATGTTGAAGCCTTAGTCCCCCATGTTACTATATGGGAGTAACTAAAGTTAAATAAGGTAATAAAGGTAGACCCTAATTTGATGGGATTGGTGGCTTTATCGCCATTGCCATATAAGGAAACACAATAAAAAAGCAGCTGTATAGAAACCAGCAAGAGCCCTCATCAGAAACAGCCTTGCTAGAACCGTGGTTTTTAACTTTCCAGTTTTTAGAACAATTAAAAAATAAGTATCTATGGTAATTTTTTTTAATGGTAGCTCAAATAGATACCAACAGTGTCTGTCTGTCTGTCTCTCTCTCTCTTTCTCTTTTCCATTCATGGAGTTTGAACTCAGGGCCTGAGCACTGTACCTGAGCCCATTTTGCTCAAGGCTAGCACTCTATCACTTTGAGTGCTTTAGGCAACAGCACAAAGATTCTCACAGACTTTCCTACCTATGCTGGCTTTGAACCACAGTCCTCAAATCTCAGCATCCTGAGTAGCTAGGATTACAGATGTGAGTCACCAGTGCCCAGCCAGTCTCACTTTCTAATGTCTTTTAGTTCCTTTTTGATATGCTTATGCTGTTCCCACCCACTTTCCACTCTCCATATTGCTTTTCTCTTTCCCAAGACATAGTACTATCCTTATTCATGATAATTCCCATGGTTCAGCTAAGGAGATAGGCAAAGAGGACCCTTAGAACGGTGGCATTTCCAAACAAGGAATTCCACCCCTTTGTCCGCCACCTTTCCTAGTATGTGAATGCTTTTATTTTTTATTTTTTATTATCTTTTAGTTGTACAAAGAAGTTCCCATTCTACAAAACAGTATATGAATACAAAGTGTGTCTGACAACATTGTCGTCACCCATCTCTCTTAACCCATCCCTTCTCTCACTTTTTTTCTTTGAGATTAGGTGATTACATAAGTTTCACATATTTCACAGTATTGTGGAATAGTGATACTTAGAGTGACAAACACATTTTAACTTTCACAAGGCAAATTTTTGTCATTATCATGGTCTATACAGTTTGTGAATTCTATGAGCTTTGATAATACAAGTCATTTTTTCCACATCAGGTGATGTTTACATTTCTTTCCTTTTGCTTAGTGTAGGCTGTTCCCACTTATTCTGTTCCTCCTCTGGCTTCCTTCTGTTGCATGCATATACCTACCATATATACGGTTTAGAATATGGAGTCATTTAGCAATGATATGACAATATGGGTGGCTGTCCTTTGTCTCTTGAGTCCTGTTACTTTTCCGTATCTTCTTGTATTTTGGCTTTAGCATTCACATATCAGGGAGACCATGTGCCATTTGTCTCTTTGTTCTTGGCTTACTTCGCTCAAAATAATCTGCTCTACTTCCATCCATTTCCCTGAAAATGCCATTATTTTGTCCATTCTAATGGCTGCATAATATTCCATTGTATATAGGTACCACAGTTTTTGGATCCACTCATCAGTAGTGGGGCATTTGGGTTTTTTCCAAATCTTGGCTATTGTGAACAGTGCTACAATAAACATGGAGGTGCATGTGTCTTTGTATACTGGTTCCTGTTGCTCAGAGTAAATGCCTAGGAGTGGTATGGCTGGGTCGTAGGGGAGGTCTATATTTAGCTTTCTGAGTTATCTCCAGACTGTTTTCCAAAGTGGTTATATTAGTATACATTCCCACGAACAATGCAGTAGGGTTCCTCTTTCTCCGCATCCCCTCCAGCATTTGTCTTTGGCTGAATTTAGGATGTGGGCCATTCTGACTGGTATCTCAGTGTTGTTTTTATTTGCATTTCCATTATAGCCAGGGATGATGCATATTTCCTCATGTGTTTCTTTGCCATTTTTATCTCTTCTTCTGAGAAGTCTCTTAGTTCCCTTGCCCATTTCATGATTGGTTTGTTAGATTGTGAGGGGTTAGTTTCTTGAGTTCTCTGTATATAATGGATATTAGACCCTTTTCTGGTATTTTGCTGGTAAATATTTTTTCCCAATTAGTTGGCTGTCTTTCTAGTTTGGTTGCTATTTCTTTGTCTGTGCAGAAACTTTTTATTTTATTTTATCTAGTAGGTGCTTCTGCATATATCATAAAACATGGTAAAAGAAAATTCCTCTTGTCCATGGTTTCATTTGATCCTTTCCTTAACTTGATTAGGTAGGGAGCATACATAAATTTATTCCTATATTACTGATAAGTCAATTAATGATAGGAAAGGGAAGTAACTTTCTCAGATTGAGTGCCTAAGAGCACTTGGTATGTGGCAGTGTTCCTTTCATTGTTACATTTCTACATGTGTTTACAATGTATTTCAGTCGATCTTAACCCCCTCTGTCACTGTCCCTTCTTCTTTTCCCTGCTTTCCCAGTTTCTGCAGTTGGGTTGCGTTCATCCTCTTTTATCTTTTTCTGTAGCCTCACCCCCTTTTCTCTAGTAACCCCCTCATTTTCCACTCCTACACAGCCTGTTTCTCTTTCCCCTCCCCCACAGCCTCCTATTGCTACATGGACCTCTGTTCTTTTATACACTTGTAACATATTTCAAATTATACACCCTCTTTTCTTTTTTTTTCTCTCTCTCTCTTCCCCATTCTGCTTTCCCTCCTAAGAAGTTTAGCAGGATTACTTGATTTAGTCTCCATTGATGTTTTTGACTGGCTAATTGGGGCACTTAGCCTTTATCCACTAAATACTAGATGCTCCCCCTAGTGGTGACAACTGAAAATGACTTCAGTTGTTGCTAAATGAGTAGAGAAACACTGGAGAAAAGCTTCCAGGTTTGAATAAGAGTAGATAGATGTCTGGATGTTTTTTGTTTTAATTAGTTTTCCTTTTTGTTGTTGTTGTTGTTGATTGTGGGGCTTGAACTCTGGGCCTGGGCACTGTCCCTGAGCTCTTCAGCTCAAGGGGAGCGCTCTACCACTTGAGCCTCAGCACCACTTCTGGTTTTCTGGTGGTTAATCGGAGATGAGTCTCACAGACTTTCCTGCCCTGGCTGGCTTTAAACCATGATCCTTAGATCTCAGCCTCCTACGTAGCTAGGATTACAGGTGTGAGCCACCAGCATCCAGCTATTTTTCTTCTTTTTTGTCTATCATGGTATTACTGATTTACTAACCCCCTTTTATGTGTCAGATGCTTTAAATACCTTCTTCTTTTTGCTGATTATCCTTTTGAAGTAGATAACATTTCTCACTTAGCAGATGAGAAATCTGACTGAAAGAATGGCTTGCCTACTCAGTAAGTAACAGAGATGGGCCTTAAAGCCAAGTCTGTTCTCAAATCTGAGCCCTCTCATTGTGATCACTCTGCATTTTGGTATCATCTTTGTGATTTTCTTATCTCTTTAAAGAGGAGCATAAAGATGTATGTTATTTTACCCATCTTTTTGTTCCTTTCATATTATATTCTTAGCCAAAGCATTGCTGTGCCCTTCCAAGCTGTATGTAGCTAAAGGAAATCTAAACTTGTTACAGAAAAATTTGTCCTAAAATGACATTAAGAAACATTCTCAATATAGCTTCAAGCAAAGGCTTATGTTAACTCATCTCTTGTCATTTGTTGGTATTTTTCCCATTTTATTTTAGTATGCCTGCAATTTTGTCTATAGCCCAGAATTATCAAGAAGTGGGTGATTTTTCCATGCTTATTTTAGCTCGGGTGATAAAAAGAAGTAACTGCAAGTACTTATCTTGTTTGGAAGGCAAAAATTGCATAAAAGTATGAAACTAATTGTTTTATTTTTATTGATGTTGTTCATTTGTTTGGTTGGTTGTTTTGAAGCAAAGTCTTGCGATATAGTAAAGTCTGACCTGTGACCTGATCCTTGCTATGTAGCCCAGGCTAGTGTCAAACCTACTATCCTTCTGCCTTGGGCTCTGGAGTCCTAGAATTAAATGATATACACTAACACTTTACTCTTTATTATTATTTTTTTTTTTTTGGGTCCGGTCATGGGGCCTGAACTCTGGGCCTGGGCGCTGTCCCTCAGCTCTTCAGCTTAAGGCTGAGCCACAGCGCCACTTCCGGCTTTTTTCTTTTTGCTTATGTGGTGCTGAGGAATTGAACCCAGGGCCTCAGGCATGCAAGGCAAGTGCTCTACCACTGAGCCACCTTCCCAGCCCCTATTCTTTAATTATTATTATTTTATTTATTTATTTATCTACTGGCCAGTACTGGGACTTGGGCAGTATCTCTGAACTTCTTTTTGCTCAAGGCTAGCACTTTACCACTTAAGCCACAGAGCCACTTCTGGCTTTTTCTGTGTATATAGTACTGAGGAATCAAACCTAGGGCTTCATGCATGCTAGGCAAGCACTCTACCACTAAGACACATTCCTAGCCTTTAATTTTTTTTTTTTTAAATAGCTTTTACCAGATATGATTGCATTGGACTGCGGTCCCAACATTCAAGAGATTAAGGCTGGAGGATGATGAATTTGAGGCCAGTCTGGGCTACATAACAAGACAATGCAAGAAAAGGTGGGGGCATTTAGACAAGTGCAGTGGCTCAAATCTATAATCCTAGTTACTTGGGAGGCAGAGATCAGGATTGCAGTTTGAGGTCAACCTAGGCAAAAGAATTCCTTTCTCAGGACTGGGGCTTTAGCCCAGCGGAAGGGTGCCCAAGGCGTGCACAAGGCCCTGGGTTCGGTTCTCAGCCCTGGAAAAAAAAAAAAAAAGAATTCCTTTCTCAATTAAAAACTGGGCATAGTGATACTTGCTTGTCACTCCAACTGCATGGGAAGAGTAAATAGGAGGGTCCCATCTAGATTGGCTCAGACAAAAAACTAAACCCTATCTCAAAAATAACCAAAACGGGCTAGGAAGGTGCCTCAGTGGTAGAGTGCTTGCCTTACATGGATGAAGCCCTGGATTCTATTCCTCAGCACCACATAAACAGAAAAATCCACAAATGGCGCTGTGGCTCAAGTGTAGAGTGCTAGCCTTGAGCTGAAGAGCTGAGGGACAGTGCCCAGGCCCAGATTTCAGGCCCCACAACGACCACCACCAACAACAAACAGCCAGGTACTGGTAGCTCACTCCTGTATAATCCTAAGTACTCAGGAAGCTAAGAGCTGTGGATCATAGTTTGAAGCAAGCCCAGGCAGAAAAGTATATGAAATTCCACTTGAAATTAACCAGCGAATATCTCATACTAGACATGTGGTTCAAGTGATAAAGCATCTGCCTAGAAAGCACAAGTCTGTAGTATAGGAAGGCCCCTGCCACTGTAATCGTGAGCTCTCAGTGGTGATGGCATGATTGCTGTACAGTCTGAGCTGTGGGAACCAGTTGATGAAATATATTAATAGACAGGCTAAGAGAAACAGAAAGAAAAAGAAAGGTCTTGGAGCATAACTGGTAGAAACAAACATGTATGAGACCCATCGATGGCACTACAAAAATTTACCTTCTTGAGCTACTTCATTTACTGTCTATATTTGGCACTGAGGCTTCACTGGCTTCTACCTTACAGTAATATAAATCTTTTTCCTTGATGTATCATTTTTTTCTCTTTCTCTAAATTTTTTCCACGAATTCTTTTCTGCTGTTTAAGTCTGCTTAGTGCAAAAACTTAACTGACTTTGAGATTAATGACATCTTTGAAGGAATCTAAGGAAAAAGCAAGAATTTACAGCTTGGAATGTCTGGTTTTGCTAAAGGAGGACCATGTTACCTGAAACATTAGAGACAAGCCTCTAGGGAAGCACTCCAAAAAGTCCTCAGGTTCCCAGAGTATACCCAGTGAATAGGTAGCATTGTTGCTATGTATGGCCTTGGTTAACTATTAATTGAGTTTAATGCCAGCTAATAATCCATTCAGAAATTCTGGATGCCAAACATTGTCAAACAGACCCAATTTCCTTTTTTCTAGGATGACTATAATGAAACTCGAAGCCATTCTCCAATAAGGCCCGGCATTTCTTAAAATGAAAAACAAAAAGGGAAGAAAGTACCCACGTATTATTCTTTCTTCTAACTTAGTAACTTTTCCTACTGAAAGTCTAGCTGTGTACACTGAACTAAGGTCATATAGTTGTTTCTTTTTTTTCTCCTTTTTTTTTTTTTTTTTTTGCTAAGTTCTCAACAAACAAGATACCTTGCATTTCTGGAAGGAATTGCCTGTTTCTGCTTTTGGCATTTCCCTTTGTGCTTATCTCAGAAGTTCCCACCTCATAAAACGCCTCCCTGCTGTGATCATATGGTCGTGAGGAAGAGGAATTCATGCGTGCAGTGACAGCTGCTTCCTGAAGAGCTCCTCAGAATTTATGGCTCTGTATTCCCTGACCAAGATCTTAGTTCAGACCAGAATAATTTTCTTTAATTTTTCTAAATAGTTTCTAGAGGACATTGGGACTCCTATAAAACATCGTTATAAATCATTCCTCAGAAAATTGAATTAAACTTTAAATTTCATATGACAAAATGCTAAGTTCAAAATTTTTCTAGTTTTCTAGTTATAGAAGGAAATGTTCATTCTCTTAGAAATATATAGAACAAAATTATAATCAATATCCTCTACAAAGAAATCGTGAGTGTTGTTAATGTTTTACTCTTTTTCTTCAGTCCTTTTATTGGGGCTAGGGTGGTAGTGGGATTTGAACATAAACCTGTTGACAGCTATTGCACTGCATAGAACAGCTCCAGATCATCCCAGTTCATTCTACTACTAACTTCCTGTCTGAGAGAGAACAGGAAGTTGTGGAATCAGGAAGAATCTATTCCTTTTTCCTTTATTTGTGGTGCTGGAGATCATACCAAGGCCTCAAGAATACTAGGTAAATGCTTTACCATTGAGCTATACAGAATTATTTCTAAGCAGAGCTTCTCAACTGGGATGGGACTACTTTGTATATACTTTGAATATACTTTTGTATATTCTCTCACAATCAGGTATCTGGAGATACAGCTCTTGGGAAGGTGCTTATTAGCAACTTCACACCTTCTGGAAGCTGTTGGAGAGATAATAAATATGTCACAATAAAACAGTTTCTAAATAGTGAGAAAACTTTTCAGGGAGGGTCTTACACTTTATGAAAAATTTGGTCCAAACTTTTTTTTTTTTTTTGGGTCCGGTAGTGGGGCCTGAACTCTGGGCCTGGGCGCTGTCTCTCAGCTCTTCAGCTCAAGGCTAGCGCTCTACCACTTGAGCCACAGCGCCACTTCCGGCTTTTTTCTTTTTGCTTATGTGGTGCTAAGGAATCGAACCCAGGGCCTCGAGCATGCAAGGCAAGCGCTCTACCACTGAGCCACCTTCCCAGCCCCTGGTCCAAACTTTTTTATTTCCAAATACACCAGTCATTCACTTTTTGTACTTTTTTCTTTTTTTCTTTTTGTACTTTTTTTTTGTAAAGGCGATGTGCAGAGGGGTTACATAAGTAAGGTAATGTGTACATTTTTTTGAGCAGTGTTATCCCCTCCCTTGTTTTCTTCCATTTTTCTTCCTCCCCACTACTCCCTCCCCGCCAAGTTGTAAAGTTCACTTCCAACATAGTGTCTAGAAAGTATCACAGTTGTATTGTTTTGTTTTATTTATATCAAATTCTTGGGCTGGGAAGATGGCTCAATGGTAGAGTACTTGCCTCACATGCATGAGGCCCTGGGTTCAATTCCTTAGCACCACATAAGCAGAAAAAGCTGGAAGTGGCACTGTGGCTCAAGTGGTAGAGCGCTAGACTTGAGCTGAAGAGCTGAGGGACAGCGCCCAGACCCAGAGTTCAGGCTGAACCACTAGCAAAAAAACAAACAAACAAACAAATTCTTGCAACTTCTGCAGCATCTGAAATGCTGCAGAAATACCTGAGTCATCACCATTGATTTTTTTTTCCTCTCCTCAATCAAATACTACTTTCACAATCCCTTTCAGAAGCTTGGTGAATTTTCTTTGGATCTTTTGACTATGTTCTGTTTTTTAAATGATTCAATGATTTGTCTTTTTATTTTCCTTATTAGTCATTTCATATGGCAGTATATTTAGAGCCCTGTTCTATCTTTCTTTCCTTCAGTGACATTGCTTCCTCCCCTACCCCCTTGGTTCTGGGACTTAATCTTAGGTCCTTGCTCTCTCTGGCTTAGCTTCTTCTACTCAAGGCTGGCATTTTACCACGCAAACCATATTTCCAGCCTTACATTGCTTTTCTTAGTCTCTAGTTCTCATTCATCCATGACATTTTCCTCTTCATAATCCTTTAATTCTTAGATCTAGATATCCTTGCCTCCTGCTGCCATTTATTCTTCTCAGAGTTGGTCTGGTCATGGGGCTTGAACTCTGGGCCTGGGCGCTGTCCCTCAGCTCTTCAGCTCAAGGCTAGTGCTCTACCACATGAGCCACAACAACACTTCCGGCTTTTTTCTTTTTTGCTTATGTGGTGCTGAGGAATCGAACCCAGGGCCTCATGCATGCAAGGCAAGCGCTCTACCACTGAGCCACCTTCCCAGCCCCAAGGTCCCTAATACTTTTCATTCCAGGTACTTTCCCATGTGTATGCTATAAAACTCTCCCCACAAGTTTTCACTGCTTTCCTCCTTTAGGGAAGCATGAAATGATAAGTTTTTATAGGAAACTAGACTTTACTTTCAGAGTAAGTCTACCAAAACAGTCTTTCCTCTGAAAATGTAGCCCATACTAACTCACCAGTAGTTCACTCTCCCTCTGAAGATTTTGATGAGAACTATTTAAGTTTTATGGCAACCAAGAAGTTACACACACTCCAGCTCTCACTGTGAATTGAATTTGCTGAACAATTGGAAAAACCTTGTGGGGAAACTGACTGCCTTTTTTGCCTTCTCTTGACAGAATGTTACACGAAACTTCCAGGACTTTGACTGTCAGGTAAGAATTGTATGACCACTGAGGGCTCTATACGGATCTCTGTTTCCTCTCTTCCTGTGGTCTTGTGGAAGTGGACCCCTTATCATAGCTAATCATGATTCCTTAAGGTTCTTTGGGAAATTGAGTCGTTTATTTAAACTGTGATTTCATTATGTTCAAAAAGTGTCTGCTTGGTACATGTGTTATAACTGTACATGACTGGGTTGAACTCTCTATGATTAAGGTCTTCTTTCCTCAAATGATATTAGAAACCTCATGGAATGTTTTCATTGACTACAGAGAAAATAGATGATGGGCAGTTTGGAGGCTAGAGATCTCAATAGCAAAACCTTTTCCTAAATGAAAACACAAATTATTATTTTTCTTCCTAGTGCATTCGTTCTTTCACGCTTCCTCCCCCCGCCTCTGTGCTAGTCATAAGGCTTGAACTCAAGTTTGGGTGCTGTCCCTGAGACTTTTGCTTAAGACAGCTCTACCTTTAGCTTTGTTGGTAGTTAATTGGAGCTGAGTCTCATAAACTTTCCTGCCTGGGCTGACTACGCCCCTGAAATACTTCCTATGGCTAGAGAGTGTTCTGAGTTGTGGTATGGAGTTAAATAGTCATTAACTCTCCTCTTGTTCCTCTAAGGCTACGAGAAGAAGATATTAGACCTAGCTTTGAAGGGAGAAAAGACAAATTTTAGGTTGATGTACTACAAAAGAAGTTTTCAAATACACTGTGATTCTTTTTTTTTTCCAAATTTTTTATTGTGATTAAGTGGTTACATAATTTCCCAAATACACAGTATTGTGGGATAGTGATGCTTAGTTAAAGTCACAAACACATTCTAACTTTCATGGAACAAATTGTCTATCATGGTCTATAACATTTATGAGTTCTATGAGCTTTGCAAAACAGTTATTTCTTCCACATTGGGTGATATGTAAATTTCGTTTGTATAGCATCAGCTATTCACTCTTTCCCACTTGTTCCCTCCCTCCCATAGCTGCCATTGTGTTACTTAGTTCATTTTGGTCAATGTCCAGTGCAGCTGATGGGTCTTGCTGGTGTATGTTTTTCCCTGATTCCCTCTAGTTCTGTGTCATCCTCCTGGTTTCCCTCCAGTGTGCACATATATACCATACATGTGATCAGCAGCATGGGGTTATTTAGTAATGATTCAACCAGATGAGTGGAAGTCCTTTGTTTCTTAGAAAAGTCCTGTTAATTTTGTCATATCACCTAACATTTTGGATTTAACATCCATTTATCAGGAAGACCATGTGCCGTTTGTCTCTTTGCACTTGGCTTACCTCACTCAACATGGTTTCTTCTAGCTCCATCCATTTCCCTTCAAGTGCCATTATTTTGTCATTTCTAATGGCTGCATAATATTCCATTTACACTGTGATTCTTAAGAAGGCTGAGAATTGGGTGGTTGAAAAGCAAAAGTAAACGTCTGAAAGTGTCAGCTAACCTAAGCTAACAGGTATAAGAGGTAACAGGAGAGACTAAAGCCAGAAATAAGGAAAAAAATGTATCTCAGAAATGTAAAAGGAAAAAAATTTATCTACTGATAGGCCAGAGGCAGAGTGATTGGTAAATTGTTATACTATTTATGAAATTAAACAAGATTATGCAATGGACAGGGGTATGGTAATGGAATATTACATTAAAAATCTGATATATTGTGCTGAGGTGTGGCCCCGTGGTGGACCACTGACCTACAATGCACAGGGCCCTGGGTTCTGTACTCAGGCACACATACACATATTTCTATTTAATAATGGACACCATACCCAAGTCTCATAATGAAATATTTATTGGAAACAAAATTTCATGCTAACCAAAATATTGACATTTCCTAGAGTATGTAAGGTTTACTTAAATTATTTCAGACTGGGCAGGGAGGGAAAGGAGGAGTAACAGGTGTAAAGTGATGATGAACCAGTAATAAGTGATAAGTCCCAGTGTGTGGTGCTGACTACACATTGAACTGAAGGGAGAGGACTGTAGAAAAGGTGAGATTAGCCAGGCACCAGTGGTTCACGCCTGTAATCCTAGCTACTCAGGAGGCTGAGATCTGAGGATCATGGTTCAAAGCCAGCCTGGGCAGGAAAGTCCATGAGACTCTTCTCTCCAATAAACCACTAGAAAACCGGAAGTAGCACTATTGCTCAAGCGGTAGAGCTCTTGCCTTGAGCTGAAGAGCGCAGGAACAGCGCCCAAGCCCACACAGCGCCCAAGCCCAGAGTTCAAGCCCCACGACCGACTGAGAGAAAGAAAAAAGAAAAGGTGAAATTACTAATAGCCAACTCTTAATTTGTTGAGAGGACTCTGAGTAAGACTACAGCTATCACTGGGAGGGAAAGTCAAGGCTGGAGAAGGATATCTCAAGTCCAGAGAGCAAAAGGATCATGTTCACTGGTAACCAGCCTTGGAGTGGTTGGCAAAACCTGTGAGATGTTGCCTTGTCCTCTGCCCTTTGAGCACAAGATCTCATTGTAGGGTCACATTCTAGAATGCTGGGGTCACCAGTAGAATGCTAGAAGTCACCAAAGAGCCAGTAAAACAGGTGAGACTTGACAAGAGCAGCAAGGTGGCAGCAGCTGGCGCCCTGCAGTGTCCTGACCACAGAATCCACTCCATAGCCAGAGTGTCTGCACCTGCTCCCCACATGGAGTTTCCTTCAAGCTACCCACATACTAGTTTCCAAATCCCTGTGGAGGTCAGTTCCTTCTTCTCTTCATACCCTTTCCTCTCAGAACATTCACCCTCACACACTTGGAAAATGAAGAGGAGCCTTCTCAGACCTTGACAAGCAAGGCCATTAATAGAACCTAGGACTTTCAGCTCTTCAATGCTTTGGTAGTTATATGATTTGAAGTCATGAAATCAGATCTCTCTAAAGGATTGAGATTTTGTAAAGAACCAATTTTATCCAACTTATGAAGATAAAGTAGTACTTTGCCATATTTTCTTATCTAATTTTAAAATGTTTATTTACTTAATCTATTATATTCCTGTTTTCTTCTTCTGACCTTTTCTGATAGTTCACTTTACACACGCACGCGTGCGCGCGCGCACACACACACATACACACACACACAGAGCCAACTACCTGGTCGTGGGAAAGTCCTCTGCTTAAGGTCACATTGCAGTCTGGTGTTTCACCTCAGTTCTCAGTAGCTGGAACTTTAGTCCTTAAGGTCAGCACTTTACCACTCGAGCCACAGCTCTACTTCTGGCTTTTGTTTTGGTAGTTAATTAGAAATAAGAGTCTCACAAACATCCCTTCCTCAGACTGGCTTTGAACCAACATTGTCAGATCTCAGCCTCCTGTGTAGCTAGGATTATAGGCATGAGCCACTGATGCCCAGCTAGTAATCATGTTCTTACATTTTCAAGATTTTTTTGCATTAATACTTCTACTAATTGCTCAATTTTTATTTTTTCTTTCTTTTTTTTTTTTTTGGTCCGGTCGTGGGGCCTGAACTCTGGGCCTGGGCACTGTCCCTCAGCTCTTCAGCTCAAGGCTAGCACTCTACCACTTGAGCCACAGCACCACTTCCGGCTTTTTTCTTTTTGCTTATGTGGTGCTGAGGAATCGAACCCAGAGCCTCTGGCATGCAAGGCAAGCGCTCTACCACTGAGCCACCTTCCCAGCCCCTCAATTTTTATTTTTTCTTTTTTTTTTTTTAAATTTTATTTTATTTTATTTGAGAACATACTGTACAGAGGGGTTACAATTACATGGGCAGGATAATGCATACATTTCTTACCAAGCATTGCAGCCTCCTCCTTTGTTTACCCTTCACCTCCCTTCCCAGCCTCCCCCCTCCCCCCCACCCAATCATACCCCTCTCCCCCCCAGTTTTTATTTTTTCTATTTGACAATCACAGCACCTGATTCTACTTTTCTCATTCAAGTCTTTCAATAGGTTTTAATAGGAGTGTTGAGTAACAGCAAATAACAGAAATGTGTAGTCACCCATGGAGATTGATCTTAAGAGACATCTCTCTGCTTTAGATTGGGGCTTAGGATTCAACAGACACCAACCAGTGCATTTGGCATGGATTGGCTATAGATGAGCCTGTGATGTGAAATGTTCTGATGTACAATTAGCCTGAAACCTTTCTGGATTCTACATTGGAAAAGAAGTTAAAAGTCTGATGAGGTTTGTTATTAAATAGGAAAATAAGTTGGAAGCCTCTTGCTTCTGTTGAAATTCTATTGGAAAAATTAATCTTGACTTATTTAATGTGAGACTTTTTAAACAAGTTGTGAATGTCATCAACAAATTTGGTAAGCTAGATATTGTGTGTGTGTGTGTGTGTGTGTGTGTGTGTGTGTGTGTGTGTGCGTGCGTGCACACATGTGTATATTGGTACTGGGGCTTGAACTCAGGGTTTTTTGCTCTAATTTGGCTTTCTTGCTCAAGGCTAGCACTCTACAACTTGAGCTACACTTCTACTCCCATGACTGTTATTTTCATTTTAGAAACATAAAAGAGGTGTAGACTGTAATAAACCTCATTTAGTATTCTGCGATCCCTTTCATTCCTACCTCAATACTCTTGGCAATACAGCCACTCCCAAGCAGCATACTCCTTGGCTAAGCTCTGCTCTGACCACATTTGAAATCTTACTGGTGTCTTGGACAGGATCTCATCAGGTATATGGAACAAACCCAAATCAAATAGCTTAAACCAAAGACTATCTAGGGATAGCTCCAAACATAAGAACACAAAAAGCTGGTACCAGGCTTTGTAGGAGATCCCTAGTTTCTTCTGTCAAGAAAAGCACCAAGCTAAGGATGGACTTTCTTATTACAAAACAAATTCCTAGGGGAAGGACTTGAGAATCCACAGTTGAAAGTCATATTTGGAAGCCGAGTGCTGGTTGCTCACACCTGTAATCCTAGCTACTCAGGAGACTGGGGTCTGAAGATCGCAGTTCACAGCCAGCCTGGGCAGAAAGGCTGTGAGATTCTTCTCTCCTATAAACCATCAAAAAACCAGAGGTGGCACTGTGGCTCAAGTGGTAGAGCACTAGTCTTGAGCTGAAGAGCTGAGGGATAGCACCCAGGCCCAGAGTTCAAGCTGCACAACTGTGGCTGGAGGGGGCTGGGAGTCATGTTTGGGCCGGGAATGTGGCTTAGTGGTAAAGTGCTTGCCTAGCCTGCATAAAGCCCTGGGTTCGATTCCTCAGTACCACATAAACAGAAAAAGCCTAAAGTGGCACTGTAGCTCAAGTGGTAGAATGCTAGCCTTCAGCAAAAGAAGCTCAAGGACAGTGTTCCAATTCTAAGTTCAAGTCCCAGGACTGGCAAAAAAAAAAAAAAAAAAAAAGTCATGTTCCACAAACACATCCGCTAAGAGGTACTTGGTTACAGGTAAATGACACATAAGAACATTCCCAGAAAAGTAGACTGTAGACAGACATAGCCATAGCATTGTCCTGAAATTCTCTGCAGATAAACATGTAATTAGAAGCTGACATTCTACACAGAAATGGATTCATGTCTCCTGTTGCCTTTACTTTCCTTTCTCAAGTCTTACCTGGCTCCTTATCCAACTTGCTTCTCTCCCTCCCACAGCCTATTACAAATACATTCTGAACAGATCCTGACTTCCAGGATGCCTGAGTGAGCCTTGAGGATGACAGCATCTATTTTTGTTTTGATATGTATTGTCTATCTTTAGAGGAATTAGAAAATATAAATAGAATGTATAGAATAACATGGTGGGTTTCTACCTCATTACTACATCCCGCCTCACCTACTAGGAAATGACAGCACAGCAGTTACTGTGAAACCTTGGCAAACCTAGAACGTTTCATTCTGCCTTTGTTAAGACCTGAACTTCTCTTGTTATAGGAACATGACATAGAAACAGCCCATGGTGTGGTCCACGTCACAATGAGAGGCTTACCAAAGGGAAACAGACCAGTTATCCTGACATATCATGACATTGGGCTTAACCGTATGTATTTGATTTTGCACCTTTCCTTTCACCATAATGGATAACCTTTGTATATTAAAAAACAACAACAATAGTAGTTCTCTAGTAGAGCAGAGATGTTCTCAGTTTCAATCCCTCTCCTTATCACTATTATCATTCATGGCAGGATTGAAAGTTTGGTAAGGACACAAGGCAATGTGTTTTCCAGAGTATTGGAATTAAACCTTGCCTTTGTGTCATATCTGCTACAGGATTGAATGTTAAGAAGGAACAACTGAAATTGTCAGTACTTTTTTCATATTTTTTTTGTCTGCTTTGGGTTAGAAAATGCAGAAATTGAACTTTGTTTTGAGCACTGCAATGCCTCAAAGTATTCTTTCCACAGCCTGTCCTCGGTGAATTTTTTACATGGTACAGGTTTAAGATCCCTAGTCCCAAAGATCAAAATCTAAAATACTGCAAAATCTGAAGCTGCTTGAGTGCCTCAAGTGGAAAATTCCAGCCCTGGCCTCATATGATAGAACACAGTCAATATATAGGTGCAACAAAAATAGTGTGTTTATCTATTTGTGTTATGTTAATATGGAACCCAGAAGAAAAATATTTCACATCCAGACCTAGGTCCCAACCAAAGAGAATTCTTTGTACATGAGCAAATTCTCAAAAATTAGATCCCAGAGCTGGGAATGCAGCTTTGTGGTAGAGTGTTTGCCTAGCATGCATGAAGCCCTGTTCAATTCCTCAATACCACATAAACAGAAGAAGCCAGAAGTGGTGCTGTGGCTTAAGTGGTAGAATGTTAGCCTTGAGCAAAAAAGGCTCGGACAGGCCCTGAGTTTAGGTCCCAGGACTGGCAAAATAAAATAAAATTAGATCCTAAACACTCTGGTGAGAAGTATTTTGGGTAAGAGGTAAGGTGTGTTTTATCATTTCAGAAAAGGATAAAGGACACTTAGCCACAGAAACTATAACACAGGGAGTCCAGATATGTGTGTTTATCTCAACAGCCACTGCTGTGGCTTTCAGAGTGGCCTGAATTTGAGTTTATAGTCCAAGGCTAGAGCTTTTGTACCACCTAAACATGGGAACTCATTTCATCTCTGATCCTAAGAGGGTAGAAAACAAAGCAGCCACTCCTTCCTTCAGATTGAAGCAGCAATTTTGGCAAGAAGCCATCCTCTGTTTGGGAAATGTATACAGCTGAAGATCTTCCCTCCAGCCAACCTCATGTGATATTATCAGTATATCTCTGTCAAATTTGAGATGAAGTAAAGGACAGCATTATGGCTGTTAGACTAATTGTGCACCACCAAGAAACCAAGAACACCCCAAAATAGTTTATACTCTGCATAGTGGATTTGAGAATGAGTAGTTTGGAGACATTGTGATGCTTTCTGTGAGTCTTCAGAGCTGTGTGAGTCAGAAGTTTTGTTGACATATCTCCCTTTAGTGGAATGGTGAGTTAGAGGAAGGCCTTAACTGAATAGAGAAAAATTGAGGATATACTGGAGACATGACTTATGGGTATTTGTATCTTGTAGATAAATCCTGTTTCAACACTTTCTTCAACTTTGAGGATATGCAAGAGATTACCCAGCACTTTGCTGTCTGTCATGTGGATGCCCCAGGCCAACAAGAAGGGGCACCCTCTTTCCCAACAGGGTAAGGACACAGGAGAGATGTCTGGGAGAGTGAGCTCTCTGGTGACCACGCAGTCAGAAGAGCCATGGCTTAAGCTGTAGGGGAGCAGTAGCCAATGCCTCCCTGATGATATCATAGCCTGTAGGAGAGGTTGCTCAGCTCATTGTACTGAGCAATTTTCTTCTTGGTCTGAAAGGACTATTTCATTGTTGTTATTGTTATTCTATTCCTGGAACTTGAACTCAGGGCCTAGGTGCTATCCCTGAGCTTTTATGCTCAGGCTAGTGCTCTACAACTTGAGCCACAGCTCCACTTCCTGCTTTTTGATGGTTAATTAGAGATAAGAGTCTCATGGACTTTCCTCCCTGAGCTAGCTTACAACCATAATCCTCAGATCTCAGCCTTCTGAGTAGCCAGGATTACAGGAGTAAGCTCCTGGCACCCGGCTTAGAAGAACTATTCTATCTATTAGCGAAACTTCATGTTTTCCCACAGGCAGGAATGGATGTCTATGGCAGGGACTGTTGCCCTCTAATCATAAGGCTTAATGTGTCTTAAACAGTCTCACTGTGTTAGATGTTGCCCCCTAAGCATTTACTCTAAATCTTGCATTTTTGTGTCCTTTCTTAAGTTCTCAGAATCCTCTTCCCCAAATCAGACCACATCCTCATCCTTAGCTGCCATGCAGGGATGGAGTCTGGATATCCATTTGCTCTGACATCCTTCCTGACAAGCATGGATGCTGTTCTACTGACCTTGGCACTCTGTTTCAATACTTAGCCACTTTGCCTGGCAGCCCTAGCCTCACAGTGTTCTTATCTATGACATGACTGTAGAAAGAGCCTTGAGAAGGAGGAGTGGGAGCACACACTGGTATGCTCATCCTTTCCTTCTACCTATCTACAGAGCTGCCTTTGGCAGCTTTGGCTTTGTTTACTGGCTTGACTGATAAAACTCTCTGGGATACATTCCCTAATCTTCTGATTCTATAAGTGAGAAAAATTGAAGCCTAGAAAAACCAGCAATGTGCACAACATGTAGCAGAGCTTGGATTTGAATCCAGACAGTCTGGCTCCAAAATATGTAGACTATATCCAAACTGTTCTGCCTCTCAAATGCAAATTGACCAGTGATTACTTGATAACCAAGAAATGGATCCTAGTTCCTTTTTTCTGTTTTGTGCACAAATGGTTTGAGAACATTCCATCCCTTAGTGTTCATCAGAGGCAGACTGACTTCTTTGTTGGTTTTCACAGCAGACCTTGCCTCATATATCAGCAGTCATCCTGTGTCATTCTGTCATGCTATTAGTTTTCTCCTTGTCTCCTGCTCTGAGTCTGCCCTGGGCTTGCCTGACCATTTTAGGTTCAAATGGCTCATATCAGGAACAATCAGTCAATAAAGTAACTATGTTATCCTGTGCCTACGGGAAATAAATAAGCATTCATGCTGAGCGGCCTAAGATTTGTAAATTTGCTTAGACTCAAGAAACCTTCATTTCCTTTTGCATGCAGCTACCCCAGTTGAACAGCAGATAATAGACTAAGAGTTATTTGCTGCGTTAAGTCTTTCTCTTGGAAGTTTCCTGAGCCTGAAACCTAGCTGAAATGATTATAAGGAGTATAGAAAATAACACAAGGAGCTGGGCGCCAGTGGTTCACACCTATAATCTTAGCTACTCAGGAGACTGAGATCTGAGGATCACAGTTCAAAGCCAGCCCTAGCAAGAAAGTCCATGAGACTCTTATCTCCAATAAGCCACCAGAAAAACCAGAAGTGACACTGTGACTCAAGTGGAAGAGGGCTAGTCTTGAGCTGAAGAGCTGAGGGAAATGCCCAGGTCCAGAGTTCAAGCCCCACAATTGACAAAAAAAAAAAAAAAAAGAAAAAGAAAATAGCGAATGGCAGCTCGCAGGGCCAGATGGGGTGGGGGTGGGGGGCGTAAATAAAAATAAAAAAGAAAATAGCACAAGGGCCATGGAATGGGTTTCTTTCATGTGACTCTCTCTGGTCCAGAGAAACATAAGAGGCCTCTTTTACTTTCTCCTTAGCATGGCAGCTGTAAAGTGTTACCCATTTTATGCCACAGGCATCTCTTGGTACCACATCACTCCTTTGAGCCTTTGGTAAAAGACAGTGTGTTTGGTCTGGGAAGGTGGTTCAGTGGTAAGAGTGCTTGCCTTGTATGTATGAGGCCCTGGGTTCGATTCCTCAGCACCACATAAGCACAAAAAGCCAGAAGTGGCACTGTGGCTCAAGTGGTAGAGTGTTAGCTTTGAGCTGAAGAGCTGAGGGACAGTGCCCAGGCCCAGAATTCAGGCACAAGACTGACAAAAAAAAAAAAAAAGACAAATGTGTTTCTCTAAGAGCTGCTCTAGCTCTTCTAGTGCCTGGGAAATATGGATGTGCTCTGACTTGGATGTCCTTCTGGATTTTAGGTACCAGTACCCCACGATGGATGAGCTTGCTGAAATGTTGCCTTCTGTTCTGACCCACTTAAGGTTAGTTCATTCTACAGTCTTTGATATTTTCTTTTCTTTTCTTCCCATCACTTGTTTTTTGTTAGTTTCCTTTTGCTTTTGACTTTGTATTGTATCTTTATCAGGGTGTACAGTTATGAGCAAAACATTGTGGTTAGTGAAGTGAGGAGAAAGAGTTAACAAGTAAGCAAACAAAAATTGGTATGAAGTTCAACAAAAGAAGTGAGCTTGCCTGTAACTCAGTCCTGGAGCACATGCTTCCATGCATTGTGCCCTGGTATTGATCCCCAGCACCAAAACAGCAAGGAAAAGAAGTCAAGTAGATGTTGTGATAGATAAGGATAGGATTCTCCAAAGAAAGAAGACCTACGGAATGACTCTCTAGGAAAGCACTTGTAGTCTGAGACCTGGAAGGTAAAAGCAGCTACTTAGAAAGTAGATTCCAGATAGAAAGAAGAAACAGCACAAGAAGAACGAGGGAAAGCCAGGCATGGGTGAAACGGCTGAAATAATCAAGTCAGATACCTAACTCTAAGGGATCAGGTAAGAATTTGCAGTGTCATTCTTAAGTGTAAAAGACACCAAAGAATTTTTATCGGAGAGATGGACAATTTAGAATTCTAAAGTAATCAATGTAGTATGTAAATTGTGCATAGATAAAGCTTTACTTATTTTCTGTGGTAATTTGTGGAGGAGTAAAAGAAAAATACAGGGAAATCAGTTAAACTCTTTGAATAGTCAACTAAGAGATAAATGAGAATGTGGTATTGCCTGCTGTCAGTGATGGATGGTGTAGTGTAAATCTGTGGGTGGGATCCAGAGGATTTGCTGATAGGGAAGTAGGAGAGTGAAAATAACCAAGTTTCTGGGGCTGGGAAGGTGGCTCAGTGGTAGAGTGCTTGCCTTGCATGCCTGAGGCCCTGGGTTCAATTCCTCAGCACCACATAAGCAGAAAAAAAAAGCCGGAAGTGGTGCTATGGCTCAAGTGGTAGAGCACTAGCCTTGAGCTGAAGAACTGAGGGACAGCGCCCATGCCCAGAGTTCAGGCCCCACGACCGGACCCAAAAACAAAACAAAAAAGAATAACCAAGTTTCCATTTAACCATTAAAGCAAGCTTAAATGTAAATGCTGGTAGCCTCATTTTCTTGTCTAAATTCTCATGAATAATAAATTATAGAGTCAGAATATATGCCCAAGTTGGGTTCTTTCCATTATGCCATGTCACCTTCAAACGAAATTGACTCTGTCCATTGTTGCTGTGCCATTCACAGACTGAAAAGCATCATTGGGATTGGAGTTGGAGCTGGAGCCTACATCCTGAGCAGATTCTCAGTAAGTACATGGAGGATTGGTCTCAACACCCTGAGGCACTGCAGCTATTACTGCAGTGTTAAGTGACCAGCACTGTTAAGGATCATCTGTTAATTCTTCTGGAGATTCCAGCAGCAATAGATACAAGTTTGCTTTGTACAATCTTGCTTTATACATATAACTCCTGAAAAACCACAAGTAAATGTAGACACAAATAAGTTGGACAAAGGCCTTAGGTATAGCTTCTGATGAAATTTGTAAAGTCATTAAACTAAGTTTGGGAGCTTGAAATGACACATAAATTGCATACATTATAATGTCACAACAAAAGTGGGAATCGATTTTCACATTGTTTGTCATAGGCAAAAGGTTGGGCTGGAAAGATACCAAAATATTAACAGGGATTGATATGTGGTAGCACCTGAGATTTTATTTCCTGGCATTGTGCTTTCCTGTTTACCAAAGTCTTCAACAATCAAGTGATGTAATCACAGGAACAAAGTTAGCTGGAGAGTGTTTGAATGGAAAGGTTTTATTTAAGGAGTTTGTTTTGAAATGTCTCCTGTTAGGAGACATCCCTTTTAGGGATGGCATAACCTGTTCAGATGGTTTCAGAAAAATAACTCCAGAAGACCATGTTGGGCACAGTGATAGAAGAATATGAAACAGCCCTTCCAAGCTGAGCAGCCCCTCATGCCAGGTGTTTCCAAGGGTATTTATCCAGAAAGAGAGAACCACTGTGTGTTCAGCAGTTTGGTTTGCTTTCCTCTCCATAGCAGTAAAAATTATGACTTCGGGCTGGGAAGGTGGCTCAGTGGTAGAGTGCTTGCCTTGCATGCATGAGGCCCTGGGTTCAATTCCTCAGCACCACATAAGCAGAAAAAGCTGGAAGTGGTGCTGTGGCTCAAGTGATAGAACACTAGCTTTGAGCTGAAGAGCTGAGGGACAGCACCCAGGCCCAGAGCCCACGACCAACCAACAACTATATATAGATCCTAGCAGGGCTAGGTCATTTGATAGCAGTTTGAGGAACTGGCTTTAACATGCAAAGTCAGATTTCAAGAGCTGTTTTCTACCTACCTCTGTGGTCTTACACAAGAGACGAGACATGAGGCATAAAATAAATCACTCACCTTGTCCCTGCTGTTTGGAAGAACGGTCGAAGTGGACCTTTCAAACTGTCATATGTCTCCTTTCAGCTCAATCATCCAGAGCTTGTGGAAGGTCTTGTGCTCATTAACATTGATCCGTGTGCTAAAGGCTGGATTGACTGGGCAGCATCCAAAGTAAGTACCAAATACAGGAGTCCATTGATTTATTTCTTGGTACCTTCTAAATTTATCTAGCTTCTTTATTTTCCTTTAGCAATATGTTCAGTTTTAAAATGAAACTAAATTATAAAGCTTGATGAATGTTTACATATATATAGTATATTAAATATTTTCAGCTTTCTGAAGCATCCCCTTATGTCTTTTCCTAACTCAAACTCTGCTTCCCAGAAATAACCTTGCTCTGATCAGGTTGTCATAAATTGATCTTGCCTATTCTGAAACATCACATAATTGAGTGTATACTCTTTTGCATCTGTCTTCTTTTGCTTATCATTCCTATGAGCTTCATCTATGGTATGTCATTCTTTTTAATTACTGTGTTATAGTTGCTACACAAATACATTCTGTGAATATACAAGATGAGCTTATGTTATTTGATTGTTATGAAGAATGCTGCTACATGCATTTTTGTGCCTGTGAATAGACATACCTGTTTCTTTTTTTTTTTTTTCTTTTCTTTTTTTTGTCAGCCAGGAGGCTTGAACTCTGGGCCTGGGTGCTGTCCCTCAGCTCAAGGCGAGCACGCTACCACTTGAGCCACAGCACCACTTCTGGTTTTCTGATGGTTAACTGGAGATAAGTGTCTCAGGGAGCCTGGCGCCAGTGGCTCACACCTGAAAGCTTAGCTACTCAGGAGGTTGAGATCTGAGGATCTGGGTTCAAAGACAACCAGGGCAGGAAGTCCATGAGACTCTTTGGGTCCGGTCGTTGGGCCTGAACTCTGGGCCTGGGCGCTGTCCCTCAGCTCTTCAGCTCAAGGCTAGCGCTCTACCACTTGAGCCATAGCACCACTTCCGGCTTTTTTTTTCTGCTTATGTGGTGCTGAGGAATCGAACCCAGAGCCTTATGCATGCAAGGCAAGCGCTCTACCACTGAGCTACTTTCCTAGCCCAGTTATGAGACTCTTATCTCCAGTTAACCACCAGAAAACCGGAAGTGGCACTGTGGCTCAAGTGGTAGAGTGCTCGTCTTGAGCTGAAGAGCTGAGGAACATTGCCCAGACCTAGAGTTCAAGCCCCATGACCAACTGGAAAAAAAAAAAAAAGGTCTCTCGGATTTTCCTTGCCCAGGCTGGCTTTGAACCTCGATCCTCAGATCTCAACCTCTTGAGTAGGTAGGATTTCAGGCTTGAGCCACTGGCGCCAGGCTGACATACATGTTTCTTTGTGTAGGTTTATACCTAGGATTGAAACTGCTGTGTAATAAGGCATCTGCATGTTTTCCTCAGTATAGATTAGCCAGTTTTCTAAACTATTTTATCAGTTTGCATATAGTAGCATGTTCAAGTTCCAGTAGTAACTCTTCATACTTACCAATACTTTGATACTCGTTTTTATAAAGCATGAGCCATTTTATTTTGAATATTAATTTATGTAATGCATCTTCAACTCTAATATACCTTTAGTTCTTAAAGTAGGAATCTTTATTGATTTACTTATTCTTTTTTTATTCATTTTTTTGATGATACTGGAGAATGAACCATACATAGGTCTGGCAAATTTTAGGCAAGTGTACTACTTTACCCAATGCTACACTCCTATCCTAATTAAAATTACGTTTATCAGTTAAAACTAGGTTTTAATTTTTACTTCCCTAAATGCTAATAATGAGTTTAATTTTCCTATCCTCTTATGAAATGCCTTCTCAAGACTTTTATCCCATTCTACATTATTCTCTCTTAAAAAGTGTTGTATGTATTACTTCTTTGCTGGATATATGTATCTCAAATGTCTTTTCCTGGTTTGCATTTGACTGTCTTCATGTTTAAAAGTAAAAAATGAGTTAGTGGGTTGTTTTTGTTTTTGTTTTCTTTGTCAGTTATGGGGCTTGCTTGAACTCAGGGCCTGGGAGCTGTCCCTGAGCTCTTTTGCTCAAGGCTAGTGCTCTACTATTTTAAACCACAGATCCATTTCTGGTTTTTGAATAGGTAATTGGAGATAAGAGTCTCAGGGGTCTTTTCTTTCCAGGCTGGCTTCAAACAGCTGTCCTTAGATCTCAGCCTCCTGTATAGTTAGGATTACAGGTGTGAGCCACCTGTGCCTGGCTGAATTATGGTTTTGTTTTGGTTTCTTGTTTTTGTTTGTTTTGTCATAGGGCTTGAACTCAGGACCTGGGCACTATCCCTGAGCTTTTTCACTCAAGGTTAGCTCTCTATCACAGTATCACTTCCAGTTTTCTGTGGTTATTGGAGATGAGAATCTCATGGAGACTGCCTGGGCTGAATTTGAACCATCCTCAGATCTCAGCCTCTTGAGTTGCTAGGATTACAGATATGAGTCACCAGCGTCTGGCTTGAATTAGTGTTTTTAATCAGTTTACCTGTCCTATTTTCTCAAAGATGTGTATTATTGATGTTTTCTCTCTGAAAAATGAACAAAATTGACCTATAGAATATTTTCCAGGAAATAGGAAACTAAAGAAATATGTAAGCCAGACGCTGGTGGCTCACGCCTGTAATCCTAGCTACTTAGGAGGCTGAGACTTGGGGATCACGATTCAAAGCCAGCCTAGGCAGGAAAGTCCGTGAGACTTTCCAGAAAACCAGAAATGGCACTGTGGCTCAAGTGGTCAAGCACTAGCCTTGAGATGAAGAGCTGAGGGACAGCACTCAGGCCCAGAGTTCAAGCCCCATGACAAAAAATAAATAAAAATAAAAAATATGTTAATAATTCTGATGTAAACTAAAGAGAGATGAATTGTAGCCCATTTGCATTGACCTTGCCTATGCTAAAAGGAATTTATTTCTCTATTGAAAATACAAAAGTTTTAATATATTATCTTGCTAAAGTACAGTTGTTCCTACATTATCTTAATCTAATACATACAGAAATTTAGATTAAATCAGAAGTATTTTCAAGAGATAGAATAATCTAAGTGTTCATTATCTATTAAAAGATATGTAGGGCCTGTAATCCTGCCTACATTGGAGGCTCAGATCTGAGGATCCAGTTTGAAGCCAGCCTGGACATAAAAGTCCTTGAAATTCTTAGGTGCAATTAACCACCAAAATAAATAAATACCTACTTCAACATACAGTTACTGTAAATGTTTGTTCTTTTTTTGTTTTCGTTTTTGTTGTCAGTTGTGGGGACTAAACTCTGGGCTTGGGCGCTGTCCCTCAGCTCTTCAGCTCAAGGCTAGCGCCCTATCACTTGAGCCACAGCACCACTTCCAGCTTTTTCTGCATATGTGGTGCTGAGGAATTGAACCCAGGGCCTCATGCATGAGGGGCAAGCACTTTACCATTGAGCCAACTTCCCAGCCCTAAATGTTTGTTCTAATGCACCATTGAGAAAGATATTCTCCAAAATACTCCAAAATATCACAAGCTAGCTAGTCATAAATATCAGGAATCTAATTGATAGTCAAAGTCATGAGATTCAATGAACATATCTGTGAACATGTTTGAAGGACACTTCTAAAATTTAAATAGAAAGATAATTTTTTAACAAATTAACCCATAGTGCTTATTGTAACTTTTTTTGGTTATTTTTTTGTTTTGTTTGTTTTGTATGCCAGTCCTGGGTACTGTCTCTTCTTTTTGCTCAAGGCTAGCGCTCTACCACTTGAGCCACAGTGCTACTTCCAGCTTTTTCTGTGTATGTGACACTAAGGAATCAAACCCAGGGCTTCATGCATGCTAGGCAAGCACTCTACCACTAAGCCACATTCCTAGCCCTTGTGATATTTTTTTTTCTTTTTTTTATTGTAAAGATACTATACAGAGGGTTACAGTTACATGAGTGAGGTAATGAGTATACTTCCTCTTGAACATTGTTACCCCCTCCATTGTTTTCCCCCTACCATCCCCTCCCTCCCTCCCTTTCCCGAGGTTCTTTTTTTTTTTTTTGATTGTGATTAAGTGATTACATAGTTTCCGGAAATTCACAGTATTGTGGAAATATTTTTTCCCAATTAGTTGGTTGTCTTTCTAGCTTAGTTGCGATAGATTTAGCTGTGCAGAAGCTTTTTATTTTAAGGTAGTCCCATTTGTCGAGTCTCTCTCCAACTTGTTGTAACCCTGGGACTCTGTTCAGGAAGTTCCTTCCTGTGCCTATTAGTTCAAGTGTCTCTCCTACTCTGTCCTGCAGTAGTTTCAGAGATTCAGGTTTAATGTTAAGGTCTTTAATCCCCCTTGTGATATTTTTATATATGTTTAAATTTGTCACTCTCAGTACCACCCAATAAAGTGATACATTATTATCTAGGGGAGAAATAAGTTACTTGCTTAAGGTCAAATACCTATAAAGTTACAGAACCTGCATACTCATGGAGTATTGTTTGTTGGTGGAAAAGATGAAAACAGAGCCAGCTGCAAGTGGCTCTGCCTTTAACCCTAGAAGGCTGAGATTTGAGAGTATGTTTGGAACCTGCCCAGGCAGACAAAACTCAGATACTTTTATGTCTAAATAACCAACAAGGGCTGGGAAGGTGGCTCAGTGGTAGAGCGCTTGCCTTGCATGCATGAGGCCCTGGGTTTGATTCCTCAGCACCACATAAGCAGAAAAAGCCGGAAGTGGCGCTGTGGCTCCAGTGATAGAGTGCTAGCCTTGAGCTGAAGAGCTGAGAGATAGCGCCCCAGGCCCAGAGTTCAGGCCCCATGACTGGCAATCCATCAATCAATCAATCAATACTGGAAGTTGCCGGGCACTGGTGGCTCACACCTGTAATCCCAGATACTCAGGAGGCTAAGATCTAAGGATCGCAGTTTGAAGCCAGCCCAGAAAAGTCCCCATCAGATTCTTATTTCCAACTCAAAAAAACCTGGAAGGGTTGCTATGGCTCAAGTGGTAAAGCACTAGCCTTGAGCACAAAGAAGCTTAGGGACAGTACCCAAGTCTGAGTTCAAGGCCCTGGTCTGACAAAAAAAAAAAAAAAGCTGGAAGCGGAGATGTACCTCAAACTGTAAAGTACCAAGTATGAGCAAAAAGCTCAGAGAGAACTCAAGGCCGTGAGTTCAAGCTCTACCTGAGGGGTGGGGTGATACAAATAGCATAAGTGCCATTAATATAGGTTAATAACATTTTGAAACAACCATAGAATAGAAAAATATAAAATCAAAACTTGTGTGGCCAGGCACAGTGGTTCATATCTGTACTGGGAGGGGGAGGGGCGCAAGAAATTAGGAAAATCACAGTACAAGGCCATTCTGAGCAAAAGTTTGTGAGACCCTATCTCAACCAATGAAAGCTGGTATACATCTGTCATCCCAGCTTCAAGGAAGCATAAATAGGATTGTGATCTAGGTAAGCCCAGACAAAAATTTGAAACTCCATTAAAAAATAATTAAAATGGAAACAAGTTATTTTTCTGGACCAAGTAGTTGAATACATTTTTCTAACAAGCACAAGACCCTGAATTCAGACTCCAGTACCCACACACCAAAAAAGTTAATTAGGGCTAGTTATGTTCCACACTTCTAATCCCAACACTTGGGAATGAATTGCAAGGATAGAGTTTGAAGCAAGCCTGGTTTATAGAGTAGAGATCCTACATTAAAAACAAAAACAAAAACCTTGCTTATTTAAGAAATTATGAACATTTTCATGTTGTGATAGACATAAAGCTATATAATGTGATCCAAATTTTGTTAAGTACTTATATGAGTAAAGAGAGGAAATAATGTTACAAGTGGTTATATTTTTGCCTGTTAATAACACAAATGATTTCTTCTGTATTCTCTGTTTTTATAATTTTCTATAATATATTATTTTTCTAATGATTCAAAAGTACCTCCCAGTAGATCAAATTTCAAAAGTTTGCCCATGGGGCTGGGAATGTGGTTTCGCAGTAGAGTGCTTGCCTAGCATGTACAAAGCCCTAGGTTCGATTCCTCAACACCACATAAATAGAAAAAGCCAAAAGTGGCACTGTGGCTCAAGTGGTAGAGTGCTAGCCTTGAGCTGAAGAGCTCAGGGATAGCTCCCAGTCCCTGAGTTCAAGCCCCAGGACTGGCAGGAAAAAAAAAAATTGCCCATCCCTCCCATCTTTAACTTTTCTTTTTTTCTTTTCTTTTTTTCTTGGGGCCAGTCTTGGGGCCTGGATGTTGTCCTCGAGTTTTTTTGCTCCAGGTTAGTGCTCTACCACTTGAGTTACAGCTCCACTTTTAGCTTTTTGGGTAGTTCAATGGAGATAAGAGTCTCTCGGACTTTCCTGCCCAGGCTGACCTCAAACCCTGATCCTCAGATCTCAGCCTCTTGAGTAGCTAAGATTATAAGCATGAGCCCCTGGCACCTGGCTCCACCTTTGGGGTCTGGTTGTGGGCCGTGAACTCTGGGCCTGGGCGCTGTCCCTCAGCTCTTCAGCTCAAGGCCTAGCACTCTACCACTTGAGCCACAGCACCACTTCCGGCTTTTTTTTTTCTGCTTCTGTGGTGCTGAGGAATCGAACCCAGGGCCTCAGGCATGCAAGGCAAGCGCTGTACCACTGAGCCATCTTCCCAGCCCTGGCTCTTTGTTTTTTGTTTTTTTTTGTTTTGTTTTGTTTTGTCCACTGTGGGGCTTGAACTTAGGGCCTGGGTAATGTCCCTCAGTTCTTTTGCTCAACGCTAGCACTCTTCCACTTTGAGCTACAGCTCCACCTCCAGTTTTCTGGTGGTTAATTGGAGATAAGAAGCTCATGGACTTTCCTGCCTGGGCTAGCTTCAAACCACTATCCTCAGCAGCCTCCTGAGAAGTTAGGATTACAGGCATGAGCCACCAACACACAGCATCCACCTTTAAGTTTTGGGGAAAGAATACATTCCCTAGCTGTGGATGGAAGTACATTAACAATACGATTACCAGTGCTGTGAGAATTTTTTTTTCTCGTAGCATAACTTATGTAGAATTGTTCTCATTTCTGTCTTATTACATTAATAACATGTAACAATCTGCTAAGTTCATGTAATACTGGAAACTTATGAGCATTTGTGAACATCTGTGAGTATTATACCAATGAGATTAGTTATGGTTGTTAATTTATGAACTGTAGATTCCATAGAGACTTAAGGATGTCTTTCTTCCATTGTAGATCCCATTTCATCCATGTTCATATCTGTCTCCTTTACCATCTTCATACCCAATTCAGTACTTCATCTCTCATCCAAGTCAGTCTTAGGAATTCCAGCCCAAAACCAAGGAAGAAAAGGCTTACAGACAATTAGCAACATAAAATGAATTGGAAATTTTTATGAAAATGGACTGACAGGCTGCAGATTTACACAGATTGTTGCAGTTATTAGACCATGAAAAGCATCATTTTGAAATAGGAATAATTAGGAGATAAATGTTCAAAATGTAAGAACATTCTGTAAATATAGTCATTTCCTCCCACTCCCTGAAATAAAAATAGCAAAAACTCCAAGAAAAAAAATGCATTTTTGTCTCTTGGATGTCTTAATAGTTGCAAGTTGATCCTTTTCCTCTATCAGTCCAGGATAAATGCAATAAAATAGGGAAGGAAGTAGCAAATTCATTTAGGGTCTCAAGTTATCAACGAAGGTGTTATACTTGCTGCTCTCTCCCTCACACCCCCCCATATTTTATTTTCACTAGGTTACCTAAGCTTATCTTGAAATACTGTGTTCAGGATTTCAGCTGAGTCACAATATAGTTTCTAGTTCCAGACTCCTATTTCAAAGCAAATTCCATTATTTCCTTAAAGGGCAATGTTGAGTTTTTGTCTTTTTTAATTTGTCGGTCTTGGGGCTTGAACTCTGGGGCCTGAGTGCTGTCCCTGAGCTGTTCAGCTCTAGGGTGAGCACTCTACCACTTGAGCCACAGTGCCACTTCTGATGTTGGTTTTTTTTTTGTTTTTCCTTTAGTGATTCTTTGAACTATAATGTCATGAAAATATATAGGATTAAACTGGGGTTTTGTTTTTTGCTATGTTTGGTATTTTGAGAAAGGTTCTGTGTAGCCTTGCTTTACAACGCAGAGTGGCTTTGAATTCTGTTCTCTTGTCATCATCTCAGGTACTGGGGTTACAGATGGACATCACCAACCCCAGAATTTTGTTTGTTTTTGAGGGATAATATATGTACACTAAAGTACACTGACCCTAACTGGGCAGCTTGGTTTAATGATGTTTGTTCCAGCCAGGGAAGCTATGACATTGTCCAAAAAAGAAATGTACTCTTTACCTGACTTATGTAACTATAACCCCTCTGTACATTACCTTTATAATAAAAATTTAAAGGGACTATTTATAATAAACAATTTAAAGGGCTGAGAAGGTGGCTCAGTAGTAGAGTTCTTGCCTTGCATGCATGAGACCCTGGGTTCGATTCCTCGGCACCATATAGCAGAAAAGGGCAGAAGAGGTGCTGTGGCTCAAGTGGTAGAGCTCTCTAGCCTTGAGCTGAAGAGCTGAGGGACAGTGCCCAGGCCCAGTTCTGGCCCCACAACTAAAAACAAAACAAAAAGTTTAAGCCGGGCACTGGTGGCTCACATTTGTAATCCTAGCTACTCAGCAGGCTGAGATATGAGGATCACAGTTCCAAGCAGCCCAGGCAGAAAACTCTGAGACACTTATCTCCAATAAACTACTCAAAAATTCTGGAAATGGCACTGTGGCTCAAGTGGTAGAGTGCTCAACTTGAACAAAAAGATGCTCAGGGACAGCGCCCAGGCCCAGAGTTCAAGCCCCAGGATAAAATAAAAAGTTTATTCCCTTAATACAGAATGTTTATCTTTTTAGCTCTCAGGCTTGACAACCAATGTTGTGGATATTATATTGGCTCATCACTTTGGGCAGGTAAGTACCTATGCTACTATGGGAGCTGTGTTTATTGGCTTGCATATGTGCAAAGTCTTATTGTACCACAAGAAAGGTTACCTTAGAGTTCATCTAATACTAGTAGATAACGCTTTCAGTGCAGTCAGAAATGCTTGTTGTCCTGCCAAGGTCAGTCCTATGGGTGAAGCCTTGGCTTCTAGACAAAGAGAAAACAGCATATCTCTCATCTGTTCGCTTGTAAGTGTGTGCCATCTGTTAGTGTTTGGTAATATCATGTGCCTCCCAAACATCTTTAGAACCATCAAGAAATCTGGGAAAAACCACAGAAATAGAAATTTCAGAAATAAAAAACAAAGAAGCCAGGAACTATCTTTCTGACAGAACCTTAGTGATTATTTTATTTTATCTCCATGAATTGGTGAGGAAACTGAAGTCTACAGAAGAAGTGACAATTGTCCTATAGATAATTTTTTTTACATTTTTTATTATTATATCTTTAAGTAGTTGTACAAAGAAGTTCCCATTCTACAAAACAATATATGAGTACAAGGTGTCTGACAACATTGTCACCCATCACTCCCTATGGATAATTCTTGCATGAGGAGGTGACCTACTTCTTTTTTTCCAATAGAAAAAATGAGTTAATGGGGTTGGGAAGGTGGCTCAGTGGTAGAGTTCTTGCCTTGCATGCATGAGGCCCTGGGTTCGATTCCTCAGCACCACATAAGCAGAAAAAGCCAGAAGTGGCGCTGTGGCTCAAGTGGTAGAGCACTAGCCTTGAGCTGAAGAGCTGAGGGACAGTGCCTAGGCCCAGAGTTCAGGCCCCACGACCAGCAAAAAAAAAAAAAGAAGAAGGTGATAAGTAAAGGAGTGGTGACCAATAAAATATTTGGAAAGTAATATATAATTCTATAATGTATATTGTTAAATGTTAGTATGTAAGTTGATAGTACACTGATTGTCAGTGAATGTACAGATAATTGTATACACTTTTGGCTATTACCTCTTTTTCTTCTTGATGATGCTAGGGATGAAACCAAAGGTCTTATATATGCTAGGGAAGCATCCTACCCATGATGGCTATCAAGAGAAAGACTAATATCAATTTACACATGATAGCTTATATACCTATATTTATTTAATCTTTAGAATGACCCTGTTCAATACCAGTTATAATCATTTTACAGACAATGGAATAACAAACATGAAGACACATGAACACAAACAAGTAAGGAAACTCAAATTCAGAATGGTTAAGTGATCTCTAAGTTCCCCCACTAGTACCTAAATCTATAATAGGTTCTTTAGTAGCTTTGTCTTTCTTTAGTAGCTTTGTCTGTCCATAATATGCCACTGAACCAGGCTGTACTAAATTTAAAAAAATAGTTTAGCCATTTAGCCTACAGGTAAATAAGTAGTACCTTCCAGCTTGATCTAAAATACTATTATCAAAGACAAAGAAGAGTTAGCATTGAAAAGACAAACCAAATAAAAATGGGATTGTTTTGCATCTTAGTTTACTTGTTTCTTCTTTTACTTGTTCTAGGAGGAGTTACAGGCCAATTTGGACCTTATTCAAACCTACAGACTTCATATTGCCCAAGATATCAACCAAGAAAACCTACAGCTCTTCCTGGGTTCCTATAATGGGTATAGCTATTTCCCATTCCTTCATTTCATTACAAATCACACCTTAAAAAAAAATGGACAAGTCAAGTGCTGGTGGCTCACGTCTGTAATCCTAGCTACTCAGGAGGCTGAGATCTGAGGATCGAGGTTCAAAGTCAGCCCGGGCAGGAAAGACCCTGAGACTCCTATCTCCAATAAACCACCAGAAAACCGGAAGTGGCGCTGTAACTCAAGTGGTAGAGTACTTGCCTTGAGCTGGAATGCTGAGGGACAGAGCCGGCCCAGAGTTCAAGCCCCATGACTGACCAAAAAAAAAAAAAATGGACAAGGAAAGGAGAGAAAAGTGACTTTTTAACCATTGTTACATAGTGGTATTACTTGTGCTGTTAGACCACATAAGGAGAGAAGACTTTAAGATAGATATGAAAAGAACTTTCAGGAAGACTGAGTGAACTGAACATACCTTGGATGTGTTCAAATACCAGTTGAGTTGTAGTTTTAAGACATTTTGAAATAAAAGGAACCCAAGCTGTATACACTCACACAGCTCCCAAGGAGACAGGAGTACACATGAAAGAGGCAAAGAAGACGTGGGCTCCATTTAGTTGCTCTTTGCTGATAGGTGCTCAGGAGCCAGAAGTAACACAGATGCTGGTCAGTTCTCTTTTGCTTGTGTATTCCAAAGTTCACTGTCAACATCTGTCCTCTCAGAGTAGAGGCTGAGAGGACAGCACTGATGCTGGTCTTGGAAATGGCTTCTCTAGCTTTCTGGCAGCATGTACCAAGACTGAGGAAATGGGTCAACTGTAGCTTTCCCAGGGTTGTGCAGCCAGTAGGGGATAGAGCCAGGTTTGAACTGGGTCTCCAGAGACTCCCTGTTTGATGTTAGTTGAAATCAGAGTTAAACTCTTATGCTAAATTGCTAGGAAAACTCCTTATAAAAAAAATAAAGTGGGGGCTGGGAATGTGGCTTAGTGGTAGAGTGCTTACCTAGCATACATGAAACTATGGGTTTAATTCCTCAGTGCCACATAAACAGAAAAATCTGGAAGTGCCTCTGTGGCTCAAGTGGTAGAGTGTTAGCCTTGAGCAAAAGAAGCTCAAGGATAGTGCCCAGGCCCTGAGTTGAAGCCCCAGGACTGGCAAAAATAAATAAATAAAAATGCATATTAAAAATAAAGTTTGGGGCTGGGAAAGTAGCTCAGTGATAGAGTGTTTGCCTTGCATGCATGGGGCCCTGGGTTCAATTCCTCAGTACCACATAAGCAGAAAAAGCCAAAGTGGTGGTGTGGCTCAAAGTGGTAGAGTACTAGCCTTGAGCTGAAGAGCTGAGGGACAGCGCCCAGACCCAGAGTTCAGACCCCACATCTGACAAAAAATAAATAAATAAATTTAAAAATAAAAAATGAATAAAAATAAAGTTCTATTGGGCACTTATGGCTCACACCTGTAAACCTAGCTACTCAAGAGGCTGAGATTTGAGAATCACGGTTCAAAGCCAACCCAGGCAGAAAGATCTGTGAGACTTTTATCTCCAATAAACCACCAGAAAACAAAGTGGTACTGTGGCTCAAGTACTAGCCTTGAGTTGAAGAGCTCAGGGACAGCACCTAGGCCCAGAGTTAAGTCCCAGGACCAACCAAAGAAAATAAAAAAGTTCCCGCTGGTTGCTCACACCTGTAATCCTGGATACTCAGGAGCCTGAGATCTGAGGATCCTAGTTCAAAGCCAGTCTGGGCAGGAAAGTTTGTGAGATCTTATCTCCAATTAAAAGTTCCTTTAGGAATTTGTTTCTGTCGTGTAATTACAAAATTAAACACTCTTGAGTTTGAGGATTTCAGTAATGTTGCTGTTGCAGTTTAAAGTTTGTCTCCCCTGCTGAAGAGCTCATGAACAGCACCCAGGCCCAGAGCTGAAGCCCTGTACTGACCAAAAAAAAAAAAAAAGTTTGTCTCCCCTGAGCATCCTACAGACCTATTCAGTACCACTTAGGATGTCTCTGATAACAGCTACTGGAGAACAGGTTAGGGACACCTGCCCTCCTCTGATGAGAATGTGTCATGATTTTACCTAAAAATGAAAAGGACATTGATTCTTCTTTATTTTTCTAGGCGCAGAGATCTGGAGATTGAAAGACCTATCCTGGGTCAAAATGATAACAGATTAAAAACATTAAAGTAAGTCCTTCAGTTTCTCCATTGAGTTGGTAAATCGTTTTGTGTGTCACTACTATTTCAATGTTCAGTGGAGTACATGTGCTTCTTGCTGAGTAACACCTCTTCTGCTTCTGCCTAGGTGCTCCACTTTACTGGTGGTAGGGGACAATTCACCTGCTGTTGAGACTGTGGTAGGTAGGGGCTAACTTGTGAGGGAATGAGTAAAATGCAATTAAATGTATATGGCACACTACTGACACGCTAGAAACTCTGAGTGAATACTGTTGTTGTTTTTTTTAAGGTGTGTTGTATGCAGCACTTCATGCTGTGTTAACTACAAAAAAAAAAAACCACCATTTACTTATTATTAGATTTCTAGAAGCCTCCATCTCTAGTCTAGAGCAGATTACCTGTATCAGATATCCAGCAAAGCTAAAAGACTCCCAAGATCCTACCTCTGTCTACCCCTTTCTCCAGTGCATAGCACATATATAAAAATGATGTAATCAATGTAAAAAAATATGAGAACTTTAAAAAATAGAGGGATGGGGAAACATGATCCTACTATCCTAAGACAAACTGATTTTTTTTCTTTTTCATTTTTTTTTTGGGGGGGGGGTCCAGTCGTGGGGCCTGAACTCTGGGCCTGGACACTGTCCCTAAGCTCTTCAGCTCAAGGCTAGCACTCTACCACTTAAGCCACAGCGCCACTTCCAGCTTTTTTCTTTTTGCTTATGTGGTGCTGAGGAATCGAACCATGGGCCCCAGGCATGCATGCTGAGGAATCGAACCCTGGGCCCCAGGCATGCAAGGCAAGCACTCTACCACTGAACCACCTTCCCAGCCCTGATTTTTTTTTTCTTAATCATAGACCTGATTGTATTAGATATACTAGAATTAGGAGCCAGATTCCTTAGCACTGTTGATGGCACGAATTCATATTATAGTCAAGTGCCAGTGGCTCACACCTATAAATCCTAGCTATTCAGGAGGCTGAGATCTGAGGGTCGAAGTTCAAAGCCAGCCTGAGCAAGAAAGTCTGTGAGACTCTTATCTATACTAACTGCCTAAAAACCAGAAGAAGTGCTGTAGCCTTAAGCAAAGAAACAACTCAGGGAAATGCCCAGGCCATGAGTTCAAGCCCATAACTAACAAAAAGAAAGTCAGGATGTTTGTACAATAGTCAGTTAATCAGTCTTGTAGGTGGACCATTATTTGTTTTACCTTATTTGCCTGTGAGGTTTTTTTGTTATTGTTTGTTGTGGGGCTTGAACTCTAGGCCTGGGTGCTGTCCCAAAGCTCTTCAGCTCAAGGCTAGTGAGTGCTCTACCACTTAAGCCACAGCCTACTTCCAATTTTCTGGTGGCTAATTGAAGATAAGAGTCTCACAGATTTTCCTGCCCAGGCTGACTTTGAAGCATGGTTCTCAGATCTCAGCCTCCTGAGTAGCTAAGATTACAAGTGTGAGCCACTGGCACCCAGATGCCTGTGAGTTACTTCTGACTTTGTACCATTACTCTTGTTGTTGTTAAACATTCTTATAAAACCTTTGACTGAATCTATGATTATTTCCAGAGATAGAATTTTTACAAGTGAAGTTAATGGTACAAAAGTCACAAATCTTTATAAGGTTTTTAATCCATTTTTTCAGATATCTTTCCAGGAGATATGTACCAGTGTAGTGCCCACCAGCATTAGGGGGCCCATTTCACTGCACCCTATTCAGCACTGGTGGTGTTTTAGTTTGTATTTGTTTAATTACATTTTGACAGTAATTTTACCAAAATTTGTGTAAGACTAGGCATAGAGGCTCATACCTGTTATCCTAGATACTTCAGGAGGCACAGAGGAGGAGAAGATTATGATTTGAGACCAGCCCTGGCCAAAAAAAAAGAATAAACCCCATCTCAGCTAATAAAAAACTAGCATGCTGATTCTTTTCTGTTACCCTAGCCACATGGGAAGAATTGCTGTCCAGGCCAACCTGGGTAAAAATGAAAGACCCTATTAAAAAAAAAAAAAAAAAGAAAGCAAATGAGGTTAGAAGTATGCCTGAAATGGTAGCATACCTCAGCTTAACAAAACCCAAGCAAGGTCCTGAGTTCAAACATGTGTCATGTTACATGTGTCACAAATTGGCAAGAGCTTGATTTTCTATGCCAGCCTTCACTTCTGTCTAGAGCAGAATATTAGGATAGGGCTTCTTGGAAAGAAAGTATAGAAAATGATCAGATGTAAAAACCTAAATGAAAAGGTTTTCAGGTAGAGGGTGTGTACAGGGTGGCATCAATGTGAAATAGGGCACACTGGCATCTCCCTGAAGTATATGTGGTTGACAGTGCAAAGGCGAATAACCCTCAATTCCCAACCTCTTCCCCAAAAGTTCCCCAAACATAATGATTCTACTTCATCAAGAAGAATTTTTAGGCAGATGCCAGTGGCTCACACCTATAATCCTAGCTACTCAGGAGGCTGATATCTAAGGATCACAGTTCAAAGCCAGCCCAGGCAGGAAAATCCAATTAACCACCAGAAAACTGGAAGTGGCACTGGGGCTCAAGCGGTAGAGCGCTGTCCTTGAGCTGAAGAGCTGAGCCCCATGACTGACCCCCCTCCCCTATCCCCCCCCCCACTCCGCAAAAAAAAGAATTTTTATAAATGCCATGCTTTTCATGTTTAAAGAATGTATATGCCAGGCACCGGTGGCTCATACCTGTAATCCTAGCTACTCAGGAGGCTGAGATCTGAGGATCATGGTTCAAAGCCAGCCAGGACAAGAAAGTCTGTGAAACTCTTATCTCCAATTAACTAACTACCAGAAAACCAGAAGTGGTGCTGTGGTAGAGTGCTAGCTGAAGAGCTCAGGGACAGCACCCAGGCCCAGGGACAACAACAACAACAAAAAAAAGAGTGGATATACATGCTATTGAAAGTATCTACCAAAAACACTTTTAAATAGCCATGTGAACTTAAAATAGGAAAACAGGATTATTTTAACAAAATACCTACATTCAAGGGCCAAGCATAGTGGCCTATACCTCTAAGGCCAAATACTCAGGAGGTAGGGATTTGGAGGATCAAAGTTCTCACTATCTCTTCTACCTTGACTGGCCTTTTAAGCTTCGTTCCTCCAAGTCTCTACCTCCTGAGTATCTGGGGTTAGAGGTGTAGCCTCACGTGCATCCCCACTTCACTTGCAGCTGTAGCACCACATGCACCATGTGTGCCACATGTACATGCCTTCCCCAACCTAGCTTTGAAAAGCATACTCATACTTCTAGGGTCACTCAGTTAAGCAATGGCCACAACATTTTTGAACTTGGCAAAAGTGATTTCCTTGAGTTTTGTGTTATATACCTTGTCCCACCGGCTTCCAATCTGTTAGCATAGGTTTGTTTTGTTTTTTTGGATTTTTTTTTTTTTTGCCAGTCCTGGAGCTTGTACTCTGGACCTAAGCGCTGTCCTGGGTGCTCTTACCACTTGAGCCAGCTTTTTCTGAGTAGTTTATTGGAGATAAAAGTTTCTTGGACTTTCCTGTCCATGCTGGCTTCAAACCATGATCCTCAGATCTCAGCCTCCTGAGTAGTCGGGATTACAGATGTGAGCCACCAGTGCACAGCTTAGCACAGGTTTTATAGCCATATTCCTGGAAAATATATAGCTAGTTGATCAAATTGGCCATAAAATATTGTGGAACCCATGCTGCTAGAGGTATGAAGCTTGGTGGTGGACCATGTACTAAGTACACACAGGCCCTAGGATCTATTCTTAGCACAATGGAAATAAGATACACATGAGGTCCTTGCCTTGATAAAGGTAAGTTTAGAAGATATGTCAAGCTGGGCACTGGTGGCTCACACCTGTAATCCTAGCTACTTAGGAGGCTGAGATCTGAGAATCACGGTTCAAAGCCGCGTATACAGGAAAGTCTGTGAGACTCTTATCTCTAATAAACCCCCAGAAAACCAGAAGTAGCACTATGGCTCAAATGGTAGAGTGCTTGCCTTGAACTGAAGAGCGCCCAGGCCCAGAGTTCAAGACCCACAACTGACAAAAAAAAAAAAAATCAGTGTACCATACTGTCTACTGATAATTGCTGTGACACATTAGTGCAAGAGGAGTCCAGCTTTACCCTGCAGATCCTGAGCTCTTAAAGCAGAGTCAAGGTATAAGAAATGACAAAGGTTCTACTTCAGGGCCTGGAGAGGACAGAGAAGGAAGACTTTGGAGCATCTCAGGGTTCCATTATTGAAACCAGTTATGCTGGAAAGGCATCTAAGAGATCCCTGTAGCACAGGGCCATGGTCCAGTTCACCTCTCAAAGAAGTAAGTTACCTTGTGCACATATTATGTACCCAGTGCACAGAATCTTTAGATTTGGCATGATCTTTAGACTTACCTTGTAACAGATTCAGATAATGAAATTAGTCAGAACTTTAGAGGAGATCTGAACTAATAGATCTAACATGTACCCACATATAATCCTACTAATCCCTTCAAGCTGGTTCAGCCCTTGGTAAATGGAGCTGTTGATTTTGCAAGGTCATTTTTAGCCAAGTTAAAATTGCTTTTTTTTGTTGTTGTTGTTGGTTGTGGGTCTTGAACTCTGGGCCTGGGTTCTGTCCCTGAGCTCTTCAGCTTAAGGCAAGCACTCTCTACCACTTGAGCCACAGCGCCACTTCCCATTTTCTGGTGGTTAATTGAAGATGAGAGTCATGGATTTTTTTTTCCTCCCCAGGCTGGCTTTGAACCTTGAATCTCAGATCTCAGCCTCCTGAGTAGCTAAGATTACAGGCGTGGGCCACCAGCACCCAGCAAGCCAAGCTGTTTCTTACTGTTGTAAAAATTTATAAAATTATCCTCTTTTTCAGGTTGAATGTAATTCTCGCCTCAACCCTATAAATACAACTTTGCTAAAGGTAATGTATCTTCCTGCCTTGCCACCCACCTCTGAAAATTATACATGATACAAATTATAATGTTTTCTACAGTAGTTTCATAGAAGCTTCACTGTTTAATTCTGTCTCCCTCTCTTTTAAAATAAGAATTTTTATTCCTGATTATATTCTGATTATAGAAAATACAGAAAAACATGATTCAGTGCCTCCTGTCTATAATCTGAGCTACTCCAGAGGCTGAGATTATAAGGATCACAGTATGAAACCAGCCCAAGCAAAAAGTTCATAAGACCCCCTTCTCAACTTGTACACTTGTCATTCCAGCAATGGCAGGAAGTATAAAATAGATGACTTTAGTCCAGGTTCTGGCAGAGGTAAAAAATGAGACCCTCAAAACAACCAGTGCAAAAAGTGTTTGGAAATATGGCTCCTTGATAGAATACCCACCTAGCAAGTAGGAGGCCTTGACTGCAAACACCAGTACCACCAAATAAATAAATAAATAATTGCTAATAATCCAGCTTTCCAAAAGGTAGCCTGTTGTAAATGTTGTTTTGTTTGGACAAGATCATAGTGTAGGGTGTCCTGGAACTAGCTATATGCCCTGGCAGGTCTTGAGTTTACCATCTTCCTTCCTCTATCCCTTGAGTGTTGGGATTACAGATAGGGGCTACCACATCCATCTACCTATGCATTAAGATCAGAGGATATCTACAGCTCTATATTTGATTTCCTCATGATCTTGTCATAAACATTTTCCATGTCATTAAAATTTTTGTAGCCATTAATCAGTGGATTATGATAAGGCAATAGATGGAAAATATACCCCAAATCCGGCAATATTGGTAATTAATTGGTACTTGTTGAGTGCAAGTAAACAAACTCTTGTACTAGTACAAGAGTACTAGTTGGTTACAAGTACCAACTCTTGGACTAGTACCAAAATTGTTTGCCTTTCACATAATTACAGTAAACACTTCCAAGTTTAGTATTGTCTCAACCAAGTTTGCCCTAAAACATGGCTGATGTCTTCAGAAAACTGCTACCTGTTTACCTGCACTACCAAAGATTCAAATGCTGCTATTTTATTCCTTTCTGCTCTGGTTTCAGTCTTTCTTTTTTTTTTTTGTCCGTTGTGGAGCTTGAACTCTGGGCCTGGGTGCTGTCCCTGTGCTCTTCAGCTCAAGGCGAGCACTCTACCGCTTGAGCCACAGTACCACTTCCAGTTTTCTAGTGTTTTATTGGAGATAGAGTTTCACGGACTTTCCTGCCCAGGCTGGCTTTGAACCGTGATCCTCAGATCTCAGCCTTCTGAGTAGCTAGGATTACAGGTGTGAGCCACCGGTGCCCAGCTTCAGTCTTTCTTCTGTAAGATATCTGTCTGCTTTTTTCCCTTTCTGTATGAAGTGTTTGAAAGAGATGATCTGTCATCAGAAGTAACACATAGTTCTAGAAACACACCAGGTGCTTAGTGCTATGACATCAAAGGCTCTGGTCTCCAGTTGATTGATGTTACTTCTCTATTACGGAAAAAAAGACTATGGTTTCAATTTTTTTTCACTTCAGGTTTGAAATCAGTATTCAAAAACACAAAAACCACTGGGTGTGGTGATGCAGTTAGTAATGAAAGAAAGTAAGGGAACAAAGAAATGGGAGGATCTCGGTTCAGATTTTTGCTACCTCAGGCAGAAAAGGTGATGAAACCCTATCTCAATAAACAGGTGGGGCATGGTGGCCTAAGCCTGTAAATCCAACTACTTGGGAAGTATAAGGATGATCGTGGTCTGAGGCTAAATTCAGGAAAAGGGAGACCCTGTTTGAAAAGTGTTGGAACTTTAGCTGAAATGAAAAAGAGATTGACTAGCAAGAGCAAGACACAGTACTCCTCCCGCCAAAAAAAAGAAAAGAAAAGAAAAGAAAAATGAATTACAGAAGAACAGAAAAAAAATACTGAACTCCATGCCTAGGTATAGATGAGGAGTTTGGGGGCATGCGTGCCCAACCACAAGTTTTTCCCAGTATTCTCTCTTTGTATATGGGAACCATTCGATGGTTCTATCAGACTTCAGTGCTAACCTGCATGAAAATACAGCCTTAGCTCATAGGTCTATTTTATCAGATTAAGTATATGCTTCTCATCTGATGCCTAGATTTTCAAGATTGTTACCCCTTTACCTCAAACTCTTAAACCTTCTGTAGCATTCTCCTCTCCTACATAGCAGTCCTCTTTCGATCCAGGCCATAATGCCAGTGAATTCAAACCATGAGATTTGTGTCTTTCTCAAAAAATGTCAACTGAATAGATCCTCCACAGTCACTTTATAAAAGCTGGAAGGAAAGAGGCTTGTTCCTACTTGGGCCCCATTCCTTAGCAGAGCTGAAGTTAGACTAAAAGCTATTGCATCTGCAGCTGCTGGTTAAAATGCAGATTCTTTTTTTTTTTTAATAAGTTTTTTTTTTTTATTGTGAAAATACCTTACAGTGGGGGGGGGGGGGGGTTACAATTACATGAGCAAGGTAATGAGTACATTTCTTATCAAGCATTGTTGCCTCTTCCTTTGTTTCCCCTTACCATCCCTGCCCTCCCATCTCCCACCCCCCCAAAATGCAGATTCTTGAACCTCACTCAGATCTATTCAGTTGAAATCTCTGAGACAGGAAGCCAGGAATGTGAGTTGTACCAAGTAATTCCAACGCACACTAGGGAAGCTGTAAGAATAACCAGAGTGAAACCTTCAGAAGTGAAAGCAGCCCCACCAGATCCAATTAGCCAGGTCAGTAGTTGATCAGGCAGAATTCAGCTTTGACTCCTGATTGGATCATTTCTTTTTGTCTTGGTATGAGGACAATGTAGACTTGAAGGGAGACTGAAGCTAGAGGATAACAAGCTCAAGTCCAGGCTAGACAACATAGTGCAACTCCTTCTCTGTCCGTTCCCCAAAGAAGGAATTTTACTTTCTTTTTTATTTTTGGGGTCCGATCGTGGGGCCTGAACTCTAGGCATGGGCTCTGTCCCTCAGCTCTTCAGCTCAAGGCTAGCACTCTACCACTTGAGCCACAGTGCCACTTCCGGCTTTTTTCTTTTTCCTTATGTGGTACTGAGGAATTGAACCCAGGGCCTCGAGCATGCAAGGCAAGTGCTCTACCACTGAGCCACCTTCCCAGCCCCTAAAGAAGGAATTTTAAAATGGGATCTAAACTGGGCACTGATGTTCACATCTGTGATCCTAGCCACTTTGGAAGCTGAGATCTGAGGATCACAGTTCGAAGCCAGACTGGGTAAGAAAAGTCTATGAGGCTCTTATCTTCAATTAATTGTCAAAAGTACCGAAAGTGGAGCTGTGACTCAAGTGGTAAAGTGCTAGCCTTGAGAGCAAAAGAAGCTTAGGAAAAGGGCCTAGACCCTGTAGCCTTAGGACTGGCAATAATAATGATTAATAATAATAATGTAATAAATGAGATCTAGAAAGAATGAAGCACTAAAAAGTTGAGGACTCTGAAAGTAACATTCCTTGGGGGAATGCAGAACCATGATTGAAACTAGTAGCTGAGTTTGCTGTCACCCAGAAAAAGTTTTATGTGGGCATGAAACCCAGACATACACAAGGCATCTTATGCATAAGTAAGCACTGAACGAACAACTCTTCTTGAATTTCTACATAAAAGGAACCTAAAATTCAATTATGGTCTTTTGAAAGGACTCGGGTATTCAGGGTATTTCTCTCTTTTTTTTTTTTTTTTGTTGGTTGTAGGTCTTGAACTTTGGCCCTGGGCATTGTCCCTGAGCTCTTCAGCTCAAGGCCAGTGCTCTACCACTTGAGCCACAATGCCACTTCCAGTTTTCTGGTGATAAATAGGAGATAAGAGTCTCACGAACGTTCCTGCACAGGCTGGCTTTGAACCGTGATCCTCACATATCAGCCTCATGAGTAACTAGGATTTCAGGTGTAAACCACCAGTGCCCGGCTCAAGGCATTTCTTTTAATATTTAAGTCCTGACCACTTACACATTTTTCTTCTTCTAGATGGCAGACTGTGGGGGGCTGCCCCAAGTAGTTCAGGTAAGGAATTTTAAATACTACTTTGAAACATCTGTGCAGTACTATGCTCCTAACTTTTACAAAGAGTAATAATGTCTTGTTTCATCTCCTCAGCCTGGGAAGCTTACCGAGGCCTTCAAGTACTTTTTGCAGGGAATGGGATACAGTGAGTAATATACAGCTTTCTACCTAGCAAAGGTTTATAGGTAACTGGGTCAGTTTGACACATGGGAGGCACAATTAACAAGGCATAAAGTTTGTGCTAGTGTGCCCTAGAGACCAAAATGTTTGTGGACATTCATTTGTGCATATGTCTGAGATAAACTAACATTTAAGCATTTACCTGTGTCAGGCAGTATATATTCCTAATCAAAGATGTAACTCTTATAGACAAGAAAACTGAGTTTAAAGAGGTAAAGCATGTTTCTCAGGGTCACAAATCAGTTCCTGAGCCCTGACTGAAATCTTTGCAGTCTGGCTCCAGAGCCCATATTTTTACACTGAAGCCGTGGCTGTATTATGATTTGCATTTGAACTCAGCTGGTAATAACTCCCAGCCTAGAGAAAGTAGAGACTCCTGAAAAGGGAATAAAATCTGTTACTCCACAGGAGGTGAGTAGGCCCAGTATTTTAGAGTACACCCAACCATGTGTCTGTGTCCTGTGCTGCTGTCCTGGTCCCTTAGATCTGAGACCCCTGAGCTTTCTCATTTGTCACAGAAAAGCCATATTGGATCCTTTCCTGGAGTTTTAAGAAGAAAACTCTCACTCATCTATAACCTCTTTACCCAGTAAAATAATTCCACATATTTGGTATCATTGGATAGTGGCCATTGGTGAGCTACCAAGGCAGTCGCTCTGGGCAGTTGGGCCCTGGTGCAGCCGGTACCTGCAAAGCAGACCCTGTGTGTTGTGTCTAGAGTGGCTGTGTCATCCCCGTCTGTGAGCTACCAACCGAGCCCACAGCTATGGTCCTAGGAGGGCTCCCTGGGAGAAGCAGATGCCCCCTCCAAGCCTGTTGTCATGCCTTTCCCAGGACACAGCAGTTCTTCCAGCCTGTCTCTGATCCAGAGCAGGGCAGGGGAACAGCTGCCTCAGCTGTTAGAAGAGTGCTGTCCACAATGAGGCGAAAGCATCAGTCAATGCCATCTCCTCTCTTGGACCTCAGAGGAACTTTGATCCCTGTTGTAGTTTTTGTCAGCATCTACTAGGCAGCTGAGGTTGCCTCTGGCCCTGTCAGGTCACTAACCTGCCTTTTCCTGTGTCCATCCTGCTTCCAGTCCCGTATGTGCAGCTCAATCACCTCAGCACCGAGTCAGGTACCTTCCTCTGTGCTGACCCCACCCACCCCCAGCCATGCTCTCCTGGCTGCATTGGCTGCCTGCAGCATGTCCGCCATTTTCCTGTGCAGTGAGAGCCCGATAGAACAGGGCTGGCTTCTTGTGCTCCAAGAGCTGAACCTCCAGGTCCAGTCAGGTCCTCCAGAAAGAGGAAAGTATCTAGTCCAGTGCCCAATCCTCCTTTCCTCACCCTAGATCCAGACTCACAGCAGCAGCTTTGAGACAAGGTAGGCAAGGATCTGTACCACCTCATCTGCTTCTCCTAGAAGCAAGGCCCAGACAGGAATCAAAAGGCAGCCTTGATTTTTTTTTTTTGGGGGGGGGGGAAGGGGGGTTATTTTGTGCTGGCCTTAGGACTTGAACTCAGGGCCCAGGCTCTGTTCTTGAGCATCTTTTTGCTCAAGACTAGTTATCTACCATTTGGCCACAGGGCCACTTCTGGCTTTTTCTGAGTAGTATATTGGAAATGAGTCTAATGGAGTGGTCTGGGAAGGTGGCACAGTGGTAGAGTGTTTGCCTTGCATGCATGAGGCCCTGGTTCACTTCCTAGCACCACATAAGCAGAAAAAAGCTGGAAGTGGTGCTTTGGCTCAAGTGGTAGAGCACTAGCCTTGAGCTGAAGAGTTGAGGGACAGCACACAGGCCCAGAGTTCAGGCCCCACAAAAGTCTCATTGAGTTTCCACCTTTGGTTGGCTTGGAACTGCGGTCCTCAGATCTCAGCCTCCTGAGTAGCTAGGATTATTACAGGCATGAGCCACCATCACCTGGCAGCCTTGATTCTTAAGTAGGAAAAAATGCCTATGCTCAGAAAATTCCACAAGTGCATGTTTAGCACCCAGATTTTCAGCGACCACTGTGGGAATGGCTACTGTGGCAGCACAGAAGGCAGGGATATACAGGAGAAAAGGCCCTGTCTAGATCTGACTGGAAGGATCCTTACAGTCATGGAAGTGTAACTGATAGAACTAAGTCTGAATTCAACAGCTGTAGAGTTCTCTTATAGGTTACCTCAGAGAGCCCTGTGCCTCATCCCTGCATGGAGATCCGCTCCAGGCCACATGTTCTCCCCTCTATCCTGGCCTTCCTCACTTCTCCTTCCAGATGGCAGAGGTGGCCTGTGACATGGATGGTAGTCTCGTTGTATCGGGCTGGCACTCTGTGTGTGAAACACCTTCATACTTGTGTGGTTTGTCTTTCCTGCCTTTCAATTTAGTGTTGTGCATGCACTACAGGTTTGGGTGACCTCTACTGGTTCCCAAAGCTTCCTTTCTAATCACTGTATGAGTGGCATGGGCACAGCTAAGAGTCTGTCCTCTGGACTTAGGGCTTCCCTCCCTCTGCTGTGGATTAGAATCAGCTAAGATTCCAAGCAGATGCAGAGCATCAAAACAGCCTTGCCTTCAGTCACTCAGATAGAGCAGACACTGCCAAGTGGGGGTGCTCTATCTTGTCCTGGGTGTTGTCTCAGTGGGGCTGGAAAGCTAAACAGAAAGCCTTTGGTGAAATTTGCAGATTCACTGAGCTTCACTAGGCTCCTTCTTCTAGTCCTCTTGGTTTTTGTTTCAGTACCATCTGCTAGCATGACCCGGCTTGCCCGATCACGAACACATTCGACCTCAAGTAGCCTCGGTTCTGGAGAAAGTCCCTTCAGCAGGTCTGTCATCAGCAATCAGTCAGATGGAACTCAAGAATCCTGTGAATCCCCTGATGCTCTGGACAGACATCAGACCATGGAGGTGTCCTGCTGAGCAGATGCTCCCACTGGACATGCAAGTCCCCTTCTTCAGATGACCACTACACAATAGAACACTTTATCCCTTCAACTGGACTCCACTAGCCTTCACACATGCATGGCCACTGACCCTCTCTCAAGTAGCCTGGATTTATCATTCTCTACCCACACACCCCTTTTTGTAAAATGTACCAAGAACCACAACCAAACCATTCTGGTAACATTCCAACATCTCTAGCTGAGCCAAGCTCCATATCTTCCCATGCCAGCTTTTCCCTGTGCTTTTCCAATTATGTATCTGATAAGATTCTTTAACCCCCAACTCCATATGTGTGCAAGCACTTGTGTCTATGTTTATGTGTGCATAGTTCTGTGATTTTAGATATGCTTCTTACAGTGCTTCTGCAGAAACAAAAAGGGATTTTGGTTTTTTTTGGGTTTTTTTTTGTATTTTCAATGGTGTTTTTAAGGGAACTGTGCAGAGCAAATATCTAGATGGGACCAGCCATCAGATTCTTTTTGATTCCAAGTGGTCAATAGGAGTTACAGAGGGGTTTTAGGAGAGAACAGCTCTGAGCACCACTGTTTGCCTGGGAAGTAGTAGAAGAATTGCCTGTTACAAAGAGGCAGGCTGTGTGGCAGTCACCTCCTCTGTCCTAATGGGTTCATTCATGTCCTTCTATAAATAAAAGGAATATGTTCTAGTGGAAGCTAAAGAATGATGAGGTTCTTATGCAACAGGAGTTTTCTCCAAAGAGGCTTAATTGCTAGACTTCTCTGAGTCCAGGAAGTAGAACAGAAGCCCAGCCTCTGCTGTGCAGATCAAACTGGTGCTCTGTAGCATGTTATGCCACTTGCCAGATGTCCATACATCTCAGGAAGTGCCCCCCCAGCCTCTGATGGACAATGGTTTTTAATAAAGGGAGTCCCAGAAAAGCATACTATGGCAGAAAAACCACATCCTTGATGGGGAGACTGGAGGAAGAGGAAGAGCCATTAACAATATCATATTCATTAAGTGTTGCCTTGATTTCAGCAAGTCAGTGGAAGCTAGGGTAAATCCATAAGGAACCTGTTTCTGAGAAATGTTAATACATTGTAAAGGGCAGGCCCATCCAGGTTTAATTGTTTTCAGCCCCCAGTCTACTGTAGGTGAGGGGATTCCTTCAACCATGGAGAATTTCTGGGAGGAAGACAAAAGCATCAGCAGACCAGCTGCCTCAGCTCAAGGGCCCAGTTCTTGAGAGCATCAAGACATGAGCACAGAGTTTCACAATTCTCAATCTTGCAGACAGACTTTTCAGACGCATAGTTTGCTTTCTGCTCAGATAAGGAATGCGTCACTCTGCCAGACTATGACTTTTTACAGATTATTAAATAAAGCTGTATATGTCTCATTGTTACATGACTGCTAGTGTTATTTCTTCCAAGTACTCCCAGGGCTCCAAGAGGGTCTGAGTTACCATTGCTAGCTCTAAACTGTGCTATTTAGTCTGTGATCACTTATCCTCTTGGAGACACTGTGCATTTATAGAGAGGAAATGAAGCTTAAATATAAATCATTTGTCCAAGAACATAGCCAGTGGCTTATTCCTTTAATCCTAGCTACTCAGGAGGCTGAGACCTGAGGATCATGGTTCAGCACCAGCCCGGGCAGGAAGGTCCATGAGACTTTTTTTTTTGATCGGTTGTGAGGCTTGAACTCTGGCCTGGGTGCTGTTCCTTCAGCTCTTCAGCTCAAGGCTAGCGCTCTACCATTTGAGCCACAGCACCACTTCCGCTTTTTCTGTTTACGTGGTGCTGAGAAATCAAACCCAGGGCCTCACGCATGGAAGTCAAGCACTGTACCACTGAGCCATCTTCCCAGCCCCCATGAGACTCATATCCAATTTAGCACCAGAAAACTGAAAGTGATACTGTGGCTCAAAGGGGTAGAGCATTAACCTTGAGCAAAAAAAGCTCAGGGACAGTGCCCACACCTTAGTTCAAACCCTGCAACCAACAAGAACAAATAGAATAATTCCAAGAGGTTGCCACATCTCCAGTTTGCTACTACTACCATACGTATGTCCGTTTCAGCTGTTCAAGAAATGACTTGTCCCTGACTGCTCTCGTAGAGGTGGAACAAACAAATGGATAGGCTCACCATGCTGCATGCCTGATTGGAGAGTGTCAGCCTTGGAGCTGATCTGGTGCCCGTGACAGGTTTTTTTCAGCCTTTCAGGCCAGGTTGCCTGGTTCCCACCTCACACTTCTGTCAGAAATAGGTTCCACTTGACGGTACCTGAGTCTAGATCTTTCTCAAGAATGCTTCCTTTATTTCCATTCCGTTAAAAAAAAAAAAAAACCTGATGCAAGTATGTCACAATTTAGATTACACACAACATGTTTGCATAAACTTCTATATACTTTGTCATGAGCTGTGGTATAATTCAATGTGAGAGATGTAAACCCCTGGGTTAAGTCCCCACAGCATAATGGGCAAAAAGAAAGTATGAGGTAGTAGCTATTCGCCTAGAACCAGGAACTCAGGCAAGTGGTTCCTCCATGGTGTGTGGTGCTGTCAGCGGAAACTTGGTAAGAACCACAGAGTCTGCAGAGAAGAGCTGGAGCTAAGACAACCTGCACCTGGGTCTGTACAGAGCTGAGCCCTGTCTCCTCCCTTGGCCTGGCTGTGCTGGGGAGGGCTGCCTGATCCAGGGTCCCTGAGGAAGACTTCATAGCCCACCCTGGTGTCCAGACAGCTGACCACTAGAGGAGTTGAGCTCCCAAGCCAACACTGAGTCACTAGAAGAACCTCCAGGCTGAGAGAGTTGTGGGTGTCCTGGGACCCAAGGTGGTTGAATGGCATGCAGAACCTTGGGGCTGAAGTATTTGAACTGCCTGGACACCTTCCATAAGCTTCTAATGGCAATAAACCAGTGAGTACTCATGCTCTATTTTCTCCTTTGCAAGAAGAGGGAGGGCAATTCCGTCTGATACTGGGGTGGCCTATTATTATTTACAGTTCCAGGTTCCAGAAAGACAGTGATTATATAAGCTATAAGAGGTCACTTTTGAACCAGGTGCCAGTGGCTCACATCTGTAATCCTAGCTAATCAGGAAACTAAGATCTGAGGATCATGGTTTGAAGCTCGCCAAGAAAGTCCATGAGGCTCTTATCTCTAATTAACCACCAAAAATCAGGAAGTGGCTATGTGGCTCAAAGTGGTAGAGCACTAGCCATGACCAAAAAGCTTAGGGACCGTGCACAGGCCCTGAGTACAAGCCCCATGATGCCATTCCCCTTCCCCTTGCCCCCCCTCCCCACCAAAAAGTAGCTTCTGGAATCCCAGAGGAACCAAAGCCATCTATCTACCCCACACTCTTAACTGCCTCCTGAAGACTTGTAGCCATCCCTCCAGTGCCTTCACACCTATCCTTGTCCCTTTTCAGCTCTACACTGCTGTGTGACTGTTGGCCCCTCTGTGTCACTGTCATTCTAGGTCACTGAATGGCAGGGCTCTGACTTTCCCTCCCCAAAGACACTGTCAGCTGTAGGTCTGCAGTTCCTCTCACAAGGGTGAGGTTTTCAGCTGAGAAGCAGAGGAGGCTGGGCAGTAGCAAAGTGGGACCCTGTCTTAAGTTCCTAGCTTAAAAAAAAAAAAAGGCCTTCACTAGCTCCAGAGAAGCACCTTCAGCAGCACAGGCCTCCTGTCACAGAACAGAGCTCGATCCCTGCATCCAGATGGAAGCATCAGCAGCACAGGCCGCCTGTCACAGAACAGAGCCTCCGTCCCTGCATCCAGATGGAAGCATGAAAGCAATCAAAACAGCCTGGGCAGAGTGTACTGCCTCAGGCCAACTCTCCCTCCACCCACTGGCCCAGAATCCTACACACACCCTCCCATGTAGTTTGCTCAGCTATGTGTGTGTAATGGCTTAGTTCTCTCCTCTCCTGTAGTGTTGAGGCCAGCATCTCCTTTAAGCTTTCCTGCTACTGGCTAGTACTCATTTTGCACAGGGCCATTTTTCTGGCTCTAGCAAGTGCAAGGAGACTCCCATAAGGCCCTGGGTATGTGTACCCATCCTGCAGCTGCATTTGCAGAGCAGAAATTTCTTAGGTTATTACAGTTGATGGCTGTGGCCTTGCTGAAGGAAGGGAAAGGGTTAGGAACCTGTCATTCTAACATTCACCAATGCCAAGCTGCTACTTTTCTCCCCTCATCTTGTGGTGTCTGTGCCATCCCTGCTTTACAGATGAGACTTAGCAGGCTCATACACTGGCCTGACACCATGTGGCTACAACCAAATTGGTCTTGAGTTCATCACCCATGCCACCCAAGGCAGGTGGATGGCCTAGTTCTTAGGCTGTGCCTCATGCCTAAGAGGCAAGACTAGGGACCTCAGAGCTAGGCACCACCTGAACTGAAGGTGCCCCATGAGGAAGAATCTGAGCATTCAGGAGGCAGCAGCACCACCTCACACAACAACACTGTAGGATCCCCAGAGTCTACACAGAAAGTAGCTGTCAGAGGTATTTTCCTGGATGGACCCATTAGGCCCCGTGTAGAAGAGCTCTGTGCTATGAGCACTGAGTGTCTATGCAGAGGTATCCTCAGACAAGTGTTCGTATCCACTGATGATATGTGAAGGCAGTGAGGGGAGAGAATTGCCACTCTTCAGGGGGGACTGTGGCCCAGGAGGCCTCGGATACTCCATGGTACCGATGGACACCAGCCATATCCAGGCTGTATGCAGTTCTGGCAAGGAGCCACTATGTCCTCCCACCATTCCCAGAGCTCCTGCACCCCAATCCTGAGACATAGGCAGGTACTTACCACAAAGGAGCAGCCAAATGAAACAACAGCCTTGTTTTTACTAGAAAAATGAGATGATCTGAAAAGAAATAGAGAGCCCAGCCCCAACTCCAACACTTACATATAGTAAACCTTGGGATTAAATTGTTCTAAGGATAAGATCCTATGCCAAGAGCTTTCATCTGCAGCTCTAACATGTGGTTGCCCTTCTGTGGGGGCTCCGCTTAGTGCCAAGGAAAGAGACCAGAATCTGTAGAGTGGCCACACAATAAACACTGAACCCAGCACGGCAGCAAGCCCACAGACCCACCTACTGAGGAGATTGAAGAGGGAGAATCACGAGCCTGGAGTTCAAGACAAGCCTGTGCCAAATAACAAGCTTTCATTTCAAAACAAAACAGAGCCTGAAGAAATAAGTACAAGAAAGTAAACAGGGATCAAATGAGAAAGGAGAGCCTGGAAAGCAGTGAAGGTAAGAGGAATGAAATGTGGGTAAGACAGCTTTTTAAGACCTAATGTTGGAGTCCTTATCTCTATTTTTCAGGTAAGAAACAGAGGCATCAAAAAGGGAGTGGACCACATCCTGTCCCCCAGAGCCTTGTAAGTCACTACGGTGTCAGAAGATTTCCTCTTCCTTGGGATACCAGCAACAGGGTGTCAGTGTCACCTCTGCTCATTGCGACTCTGGGCCCAAGCCTCAGCTTCCCTTTGCCCTCAGCCTCAGCCATACTTCAGCCATGATGCTTGGTATGTTTAAAGGGGCCACAAGCTAGGCACTGGTGGCTCATGACTGTAATCCTAGCCATTCAAGAGGCTATAAGCTGAGGATCAAGGTTCAAAGCCAGTCTGGGTAAGAAAGTCCATTCCAATTAGGCACCAAAAAAGCCAGAAATGGAGCTGTGATTCAAATGGTAGTGCATCAACCTTGAGTAAGAAAGCTCAGGGCGGGGAGCATTCAGGCAGATCCAAAGCAGAAGAAAAGCAGGCCAGCCATGGAAAAGGATAAAAGCCCAGAGATAACTGGAGCGGCACTGCAGCATAGGGAAGACAGTTTCAGAGTTGGAAGGAGGCCTGGGGATTGGTCCTGACAGGAGGGGGTGTTAATCCCTGTCACTCTGTCTCCATGGTGGCATCTCAATCAGATGTCTCTGCTGTGCTTTCAGAGTCTTCTGAGAATGATGGGAAGTCTGCCCAGCAAAGGAAAACCCCTGCCAAACCCAAGCTCACATCCTTCTGTACAAGGCCAGCGACCTGTACCCTTGCAAGCAGGTAGGCCCCAGGGACCCCCGGCAGCTAGGCTCTTCCTTGGCCCAGACTTCACTGCCTCTGAGCCCTCAAACCAGCATCCCCATCACAGCAGCAGGCACCAATGAACCTACTGAATACCTAGCCTTTCCTAGTGAGCCTGACAAAGGGATCCATGCTCCCATAGAGCTTGGACATTTAACAAGCAAACAAAAGGGAAAATAGGAGGGCCAAGTATGTGACTCAGTGGGAGAGTCTAGCCTTACATCTACAAGGCCCTAGTTTGATCCTTAGCATCAATAAAGAAACGAACAAATGAATGAGTGCCAGGGATGGTTCACACACCTCTAATCCCAACTTCTTGGAAGTTGAGTAGATGGAGTAAATTTGATCAAAGTACATTATATGCATGTTGTAAACACACACAAAAAAAAGGCCTGTGCTTTCCTCTCACAGGAAGAGAAATGCATTCTGGAAAAATTATTATTACTATTATTAGTAGTATCAATTGGTTGTCAAGGGGGTTTCATGTTGACTTATTCATATAGGTATACCAAGTACCTATTAGTTTCACCTGTTCTGACATTCTCTTCTCAAATTGTTTGTTTTTAACCAAACCATTTATTTATTTGTTTATCATTATTTATTTAATTTTGGTCAGTTGTGCAGCTTGAACTCTAAGCCTGGGCACTGTCTCTAAGCTCTTCAGCTCAAGGTGAGCACTCTACCACTTGAGCCACAGTGCCATTTCTGGTTTTCTGAGTGGTTTATTGGAGATAAGAGTCTCGTGGACTTTCCTGCCTAGGCTGGATTTGAACTTCCATCCTCATATCTCAACCTCCTGAGTAGCTAGGATTATAAGTGTGAGCCACCAGTGCCTGGCCTGTTTTTTTTTTTTTTTTTTTTTTTTTTTGTCGGTCATGGGGCTTGAACTCTGGGCCTGGGCGCTGTCCCTCAGCTCTTCAGCTCAAGGCGAGCGCTCTACCACTTGAGCTACAGTGCCACTTCTGGTTTTCTGGTGGTTTATTGGAGATAGGAGTCTCACGGTCTTTCCTGCCCGTGCTGGCTTTGAACTGCGATCCTCAGATCTCAGCCTCCTGAGTAGCTAGGATTACAGGCGTGAGCCACCAGCGCCAGGCTCTGGCCTGTTTATTTATTTATTGTCAGTCATGGGGCCTGAACTCTGGGCTTGGGCGCTGTTCCTCAGCTCTTCAGCTCAAGGTTAGCACTCTACCACTTGCACCACAGTGCCACTTCCTGCTTTTTCTGCTTATGTGGCACTGAGGAATGAACCCAGGGCTTCCTGAATGCTAGGCAAGCACTCTACCAGTAAGCCACATTCCCAGCCCTGAGCTTCTTTTGCTCAAAGCTAATGCTCTACCACTTAATCCACAGATCCACTGCTGGCTTTTTCTGAGCAGTTTATTGGGGATAAGAGTCTCACAAACTTTCCTGCCTGGTCTAGTTTTGAACTACAATCTCTTCAGATCTCAGCCTCCTGAGTTGCTAGGATTACAGGCATGGTCCACCAGGGCCTGGCTCCAAACCATTTTTGAAACAAGTCTTTATCTTTTTATGAAGTTTGAAATTTCTGAAAAAGAATTTATGGTTAATATCATCTCAAAACATCTTCATAGCAACATCTAGACAGTTGTTAGTTGTATGGAAGCCACACAGCCTCTACTTGGTTTCTTCTGAACCTCGCTATTGGCTGTGTCCCCAGGCTGCTGTGTCCAGGGCTGCTCAGGGTAGTGACTGGAGGCATCCCAGAGGTCCGAGGAAAGCCCTTCTGTCTCCTCCTCCTGGTCTCTCAGTGATTCTGTGCTGTTGTAGCTGCAGCACCCATCCCTCCCCACAACCATTCATCCATATCCACCTTGCTTCCTCCTGAAGCCTATGAAGGCTCTGCCATGTGCAGGGTCATGTGACCAGAGCTGAGGACACAGCAGTGGACAAGATGAGCTCAATCCTGATCTTTGGGGACAATTGAGCCCCAGAGACAGGAGCTAAAGAAATGTGTTAGCTTTGGTGATCACATGTGAAGGACTCTGAGGGTGTGCAGTTGGATGAGCTAGAGCCGCCTCCCAAGGAAGTGAAGGGAAATGCTGAGTGAACACCCCCCCCCACCTCGCTGGGTGAGGACTTTGGAAGGAGACCTGCCCCTGTAGGGGTGCAAGATCATTGTTTCCAGAAGGAGATGGAATCCTTCTACACCATTTATCCCACCCTCATGGAAGAGTGACCTCTACCAGGCTTGCATAGGTCAATGGGGCATCAGGCATCGCTCTGCACCTGGCCAGCCAGCCTTGAGTGCAAAGTGTGCTCTGAGGAGCACCTGCCTTGGAGTCTCCTGGATGCCCAGAGGATGCATAGGAATGGCTCATTTCAGAATCAGCCTCACTTTTCCACAGCAGAGATCCTCAGCTCTGTATTACCCCAGCAGCCCTTGGGGCTTCATCTATCTGCTTCTCTTGCCCTGGCTTCTATGGGCCCAGCTCCATCTAGAGGGCATCCCAGACTCCTCTTGGCTCAAGAGCTTCCAGAAGATAAACGAGCCTTATGTTGACATTGCCTACTTCACATAGCTTAATGCACCCATATGCTAAGGGTCTCTTTCAGGAATTCTTACTGAAAAAGACTGAGGGGGAATGAAAGGGAGGCTGGAGGCAGTTGAAGTAGCTTTCAGCAGCCATCACAGGCTGAAGTTTTAGACCCAGAAGGCCCTACAGGCAGAAGGAAGAACTTGTTAGACCAGGTGGGCTGATGTAGGGGGAGAGAAGGGTGGAGAGATGAGTCCTATGCTGAGAGAGTTACTTGCCACCTGATGCCTAGCCTTGAAACTGCTGTCATAACCACCACATCTTCAGGACTGCTCCTGGTATGGCGGGGAGCTTAGTTTCCAGCTATCTCTGGAACCCAGGCTAGTGGCTCCCTGAGCCTCCACGGAGGCAGATCCCGTCCTGGGAGATGCTTCCACTGCTCAGCCCTATTCCTCCCACCTGCACCTGTGAGATGGGGTGGGAGGCATGGCACTGTCAGGGTCTTGAACCCTCACTGCACAGTGGGGATGCCTAGAGATGACCACCTTGGTGCAGTGGTGAGAGCTAAGAGGCTACATGGTGACCCCAGATAGGATGGACTCACAGGTGTGGTAGTGGGGTGGAGGCCTGGACTGTGACAGTGTCACACACCTCAGTGGGCACTTCTTTAGACCAGGCCTGTGACAGTGTCACACACCTCAGTGGACACTTCCTTTAGACCAGGCCTGTTACAGGGACCTAGTGTGTTACATTTTTGGGGTAGCACAGGGCTCTAGCTGCTGCCTTGGACAGAGGCCCTGGGAAAACCACTCTACACCCACTTGTGAGCTGCACTAGAATTTACAACACTGTTGCCATCTGTAGTCTCTCAGCTCTTCCAGGTGCATGCAGCCAGGGCCAGAAGTGAAGGGCAGGATGGGAAGGGAAAGTCATCCTCAGCCTTCAGGGTCCTGTTGTCCTGCCTCTTGGCAGTATATGTGTTAGTGCTACTCCATGCCCATCCCAGAGCCCCACTGACTGGGGAACCTAAGCCCAGGACAGGCCTTTCCTCAGTTCCTTTCCAGCCTCCAGAGCTACCGCAGAGTGTTTGTCTACCAATGCTTCCCAGAGACTGAGCTCAAGCCCACACTCGACATCAGCACAGAGATGTAGGTCTCCTTCCTTCCTTCGTTCCTTCCTTCGTTCCTTCCTTCGTTCGTTCCTTCCTTCCTTCCTTTTTCTTTCCTTCTCTTTTTCTTTTTCTCTATCTCTCTTTCTCTCTTTCTTTCTTTCTTTCTTTCTTTCTTTCTTTCCTTCTTTCTTTCTTTCTTTCTTTCTTTCTTTCTTTCTTTCTTTCTTTCTTTCTTTCTTTCTTTCTTTCTTTCTTTCTTTCTTTCGTTTTCTTTCTTTTGCAGTGCTGGGGTTTGAACCCAGGGACTTGCACACCAAGCCAAATGGTGCCTCTGAGCCATACCCTCAGCCCCAGCTGCAGGTTTTGTTTCTAAGCAGCAAAATCTCTTCAGGTTCCCTGATGAAGTACATAGCCGGGTGCTGGTGGCTCACACCTGTAATCCTAGCTACTCAGGAGGCTGAGATCAGGATCACGGTTCAAAGCCAGCCCAGGTAGGACTCTTATCTCTAATAAACACACAGAAGAGTGGAAGTGGCGCTGTGGCTCAAGTGGTAGAGTTTAGCCTTGAGCTGAAGAGCACAGGGACAGCGCCCAGGCCCAGAGTTCAAGCCCCACGACCAAAAAAAAAAAAAAAAAAAAAGGTACATAGTCATGGCCAGAAGCCCCACTCCTCTTGTCACATGAGCTTGAGGCTTCCCTAGGGACCACAAGAGCTCACTGTCATCTTAAGTGCTGCAGAGCATGCTGGGAGAGCTTCAGAGCCCAGAACCACTTACAAGCATGGCACCATGACAGAGTGTGACGGGAGCTGGGTTCCTCAGGCCCTCACATTTCAAGGGAAAGCTGGCCAAAAGGATGATTGTCTCTGTCTCTCCATCCAGAGAGGAGCAAGGCCACAGCGGTGGCGCTGGACAGGTTCCCAGCAGGTGGGCAGGCTGAACTGTCTCTGAGACTAGGGGAGCCCCTGACTATCATCTCTGAGTAAGTTCACAGGCCTGGGCACCTGGAGCGGCACCAATGGGAAACCACTCACATGTGATCATAACCCTATCATGAGTTTTAGGCAGATTAATATCTATGGGGAAAGACGAAGGGTCAAGGCCTATTAACAAAGAGCCTTGGATCATGCCATCTGTCACAACCTGGGCCTGGTTTGGGGGGCGGGGGACGGGCTGGACTGGCTAATCCAAGAAAGCTTTGGAAGCAAGTGGGGCAGGAAGCTGCAGGATCCCCAGGTTGCCAGGGTCTTGGCACTTTTTTTCTCCACATTTTTATTTAGTGTAAGTTTGTACAAGGAGGGCATTGGCACTTATTTTTTTGTGTGTTTACATGCCAGTAGCAGGGCTTTGCATGCTGAGCCTTGTACTCTTGCTCAGCTCTTTTACCCAAGGCTGATGCTTCATCACTTAAAACATACCTTTGGTTCCAGCTTTTTGCTGGTTAACTGGAGGTAAGACTCACTCAGATTTCTCTGCCAAGGCTAGCTTTAAAACAAGATTCTCAGATCTTGGCCTCCTGAGTAGCTAAGATTATAGTGTGAGCCATTGGAGCCCAGTATCTCAACACGTGTGAACGAGGTGCCCTCTCGGTTCTCTCCCCAGGAATGGAGATTGGTGGACAGTGCTGTCAGAGCTCTCAGGCAGAGAGTATAATGTTCCCAGCATGCATGTGGCCAGAATCTCCCATGGGTGAGTGAGCATTCCATACCACTGTCAGAGACTTTCCTGCTGTTTCTTTTGTGAGATTGTTTTAGATTGTTTTGTTTTTGGCCAGTAGTAGGGCCCCTGCGGAATGAGTTCTCCAGGAAAAAACAAAACAAAACCAAAACAAGCTGAACTGGCCCTATGAGCCTGTCCCCTGAGGCTCTGACCAGAGGGGCCATGGCACAGCAATTATGAGGCCTAGAGAACGAGTTGGGGGATTCTTGTTGAGATCACCCAAAGGTAGAGGGGTTCCAGTAAACTTTCAGTTCACCCCACCCCCAGCCTGACCCAGGCTGACCTGTGTCCCTATCCCTTACTCCTCCAGGTGGCTATTCGAGGGGCTGAGCAGGGAGAAAGCTGAGGAACTGCTGTTGTTGCCTGGGAACCCCGGAGGGGCCTTCCTTATCCGAGAGAGCCAGACCAGGAAAGGTGGGTAAGCTCGCCTCTCATCCTCTGCCCAGGTCAGAAAGTAGCCTGCAGAGAACATACTGACCCTCTTCTTGTCAGCCAAGGTTGTCTGAGCCCAGCCTGGCCTGGCCTGGGGGAGATGGAGTTGGGCTAGGAGGGCAGAGAGGCACCACCTGACAATCACTGCAGGCTTCATGGAGGTAGGACTATGGGTTGGGACTTGAAATCTGTCTCCAAGACAGCCCACGGTGCACTGGTGCTGGGGTTGGCCAGTGGACTGCACCATGGGACAGGAGCTCAGGAGAAGCCAAGTGAAGCTAGAGCCCAGGGCCTGGGATGCTGGCCAAGAAGCTCATGATTGCTCCCTGTGGCAGAGACAGCCATCACTTAGCAGAGAGCTGGTTGGATTCAGGGTGTTCAGGGCCAAGAAAAGGCTACAGTACAGCGAGTCTCTTGTGTTCTCTGGAAGACAGAGGGCAGGGGAAGGGCAGTTTGGGGGAACGTTGGAAATTAGACCCTGTTTTGAGAAAAGTCTCGCAGTAACACAGGACTTCTCAGGCTTTACTTTGACTAATTGGGCTTTCCCAATAGCTTTTGAACATGGGACTTTTCATCATGAAATAGCTAGTAATAGCCGCTGCGTTGTTGATGGTGGTGGTGGTAGTGGTGGTTGTGGAGCTTGAACTCAGGGCCTGGGCACTGTCCTTGAGCTCTTTTGCTCAAGGCTGGCACTCTACCACTTTAAGCCACAGTGCCACTTCCAGTTTTCTGGTGGTTAATTGGATACTAGTCCTATAGAATTTCCTGCCAGGGACAGCTTTGAACTACAATCCTCCAATGTCAGCCTCCTGAGTAGCTAGGATTACAGGCATGAGCTTCCATACCCATTCTTTCAAGAAATGCTTCCTGAGTTCTTATCACAGGACCAAAGGCCTTCTGTGTAACCATGTTTCCAGTGAGTGAAGTGGGCACATTTCTTGCTCTCAGGGAGCTCCAGGGTCCCCAGATGCCAGTGTTCATGCCATACAGTTTGGAAAACAGCTCTATTTGAGAGTTGCACTGATAATAGGGCCTGTTGTCCAAATGCCAAATAGAATACAACTTGGGGTAGTGATGGGAGACATTACGGACCTTGTCTTGGCATAGTCCACTGTGGCTTCCATGATAGCCCTTCAATAGTGCAATAATCTGCACTTCCGAAAGTGTGAGGGACTGGCCTGTAGTGGGTTCTGGGCTTAAGACAACATTTTGTTAACTGGGAACTTATCCTGATCAGCAATGATTCCTTCCTCTATAAGACACACATGACACTGATGTATATAGAAATGTGCATCTCACTGCAAGCACCCAAGAAAGACCTCAGGGGCCAATAATGCAAGTGACAGCCTTGGGAGGGAACACCAGGAGTGAGGGTAGGCTTCTTGTGTCCACCCTGTGTTATCTGACTGTGATGGCCCTTTATAAAGGTCCTTAGTTCTCCACCTCAGTCTCCTTCTCTGTCCTTATCTAGCATGTCTTCATCGCTCTTCTGATCCCTGGCTCTCCTGCTAATTTCCTTGCAGCAGTACAACCCCCACCTTCACACCCACGCACAGGCAGGCCCCAGTGCTGCAGCTGCAAACAGGAAACCACTGTGGCGGTGCTCACTGGAACAGGGGCCCTGCAGAAGACACAGGGCCTGGGGAGAAACCACCGGAAGTGCTCGGTGCTCAGCTACCCCACTCCCACCCCTTCTCTGGTCTGGTTCAGTTCTAAGAGTCCAGTGAGCAGCCGTCAGTGCCCCTTAACCCTTCACAAGAAGGCATAAATACAAGGGGAAGCTGGTAGAGTGACACTGGAGAAAGTGGATAGGAATACATAAGATCTTTAGGACCCACAAAGACCCCTATGATTGCTGAGATTAAGATCCCTATAACCACCACCAGAAACAAGGAAAGAAGGTAGCATTCAGCACCCTCCAGGAAAGGCAGTGTTTATCTGCTCAGCAGATTCTTAATGATTTTAACAGGTAGATATTCCTGTGTTAGAAAGGATGAAGAGCTAGGTAGACAGGTGCAGATTGTCAGGGACAGCTGAAGTTGCCTTCCCACCATTCCTAGCTCCCTAATCCTAACCAGGAAGCTGAGCTTATGTGCTCCATAACACGCTGCTTTCTCCAGGTGTCTGGTTTCAGACAGGCCTTTTGTACCCATGGCTGGCAGGGATAGCAGGTACTGGATGTGGGTTTGCTCCAAGTAATGCAGTGATAATATCTTCAAGAATCTATTCTGCTGAGCCAGGTGGCACATGCCTCTAGCTGTAGCTGACATTAGAGGATTATGAATTTGAGGCCACCCTGTCACAAAGAAATCCCAACACCCTTTGTGCTCACAGACAGCAGTCCTATAGGGCCAGATGCCAGTGGCTCACACCTATATTCCTAGCTATTCAGGAGGCTGAGATTTGAAGACTGGAGTTCGAAGCCAGCACAGGCAGAAAAGTCCATGAGAGTCTTATCTCCAATAAACTACCAAAAAAAAAAAAAAAAAAGGGCCAGAAGTGGCTCAAGTACTACAGCACTAGCTTTGAGCACAAAAGCTCAGGGATAGGGCCCAGGCTCTGAGTTCAAGGACCAGGACCAGAAAAAAAAAGTGGGACTGGGAATGTGGCTTAGTAGTAGAGTGCTTGCCTAGCATGAATGAAGCCCTGGGTTCGATTCCTCAGGGCCACATAAACAGAAAAAGCCATAAGTAGTGCTGTGGCTCAAGTGGTAGAGTGCTAGCTTTGAGCAAAAGAAGCTCAGGGACAGTGCCCAGGTCTTGAGTTCAAGCCCCAGGACCGGCAAAAAAAAAAGTGCTTATAGAGAACTGGGTGGTGTTCAACTGGTAGAATGCTTACCTAGCAAACCCGAGTTCAAATACCAGTACCAGTACATAACCAGAGTTTTTGTTTTGATATGTGTGTGTGTGTGTGTGTGTGTGTGTGTGTGTGTGTGTGTGTGTGTGTGTGTGTGTATGGTTCACACCTGTAATCCTAGCTACTTAGGAAACAGATCTGAGGATGCAGTACAAAGCCAACTCAGGCAGGAAACTCTATGAGATGCTTAGTTACAATTAACCAGCAAAAAGCTAGAAGTGGAGCTGGGTGGGAATCAAGCAGTAGAGTTGCACAAAAGCTCAGGGACAGTGTCCAGGTCCTGAGTTCAAACCCCATTAGGAGCACGCGCGTGCGTGCGCGCACGCGCACACACATCCACACACAACCTGCTTCTAGTCCCAGTTCTGAAAGTTTTTCAGAGAATTATTCATTCAGTCATAAGTAAATGTTTCATGCTGATTCTGTGCCAAACACTCTTCTAAACACAGAGAAACATAGTATGAAAGACAAACTCCTGGCCACAGCTGGAGGTGGGCAGTGAAAAATAAGTCAAATACAAGAGAGCCTCATTGTAGTATTCCCATATGTATGTATAATATAAATTGATTAAATTCCCCTCTTGCTCTTTGTTATCCTCCTCTAAAAACAGTAAGTCAGGGGCTGGGAAGGTGGCTCAGTGGTAGAGCACTTGCCTTGCATGCATGAGGCCCTGGGTTCAATTCCTCAGCACCACATAAGCAAAAAGAAAAAAGCCAAAATGGTGCTGTGGCTCAAGTGGTAGAGCGCTAGCCTTGAGCTGAAGAGCTGAGGGACAGTGCCCAGGCCCAGAGTTCAGGCCCCACGACTGGACCCCCCCCCACAAAAAAAAGGGTACTCAGGTGGAAGTGGAAAGCCACAAAAGAAGTCGTCACTAGCTCAGGCGGGGTGAGAAGTGGTCACACTGGATGTGTTCTCACTGCTGGTGCTCTACCACTTGGATGGTGTCTGAATGTTAACCAAGAGACCTTTTCTGCTAAAGGGAGTATGAGGGATATGTATTAGTTGGCTTGCCATTCCTGAAACAAATCATAAGAGAAAGATTTATTTTGGCTCTAAAGTATCCCAAGTTTCGGTCTGTGGTCACTTGGCATGATTGCTTTCAAGCCTGTGGAAAGGCGGCATGTCATGGTGAAAGCAGGTGGTGGAAAAACGCTGCTTACCTCAAGGGAGTCAGAAAGCAATGAGTTTGTCTTTATAACAAAGATCCTCATGGCTGGGAAGGTGGCTCAGTGGTAGAGTGCTTGCCTTGCATGCATGAGGCCCTGGGTTTGATTCCTTAGCACCACATAAGCAGAAAAAGCCAGAAGTGGTGCTGTGGCTCAAGTGGTAGAGTGGTAGGCTTGAGCTGAAGCGCTGAGGGGCAGTGCCGAGGCCCAGAGTTCAAGCCCCATGACTGGCAAAAAAAAAAAAAAAAATCCTCCCCCTCCTCCAAAGCCTATTAAGCTGAGTCCTTAAGTGGATAGATACATCCATTGGTAAGATCAGAGCCCTCAAGATCCAATCATTCCCAAAGACACCCCTTCTTCCATAAATATTGCTGCTTTTCATTGCATGAGCAAAAGAGTCAACCAGAAAGAAGCTGGAACTGAAGGCAAGGCTCAAGTAGTAGAGCTTGAAAAAAACTGAGCAAGAGCACAAGGTCCTGAATTCAAGCTCCAATATTGATTGGTGTGTGCTCACACGTGCGTGACACACATACAGACACAATAGCAAAGTACACCATTACATCATGATAGTATATAGATGACTATTTTATTCAGCATCCTCTTTCCATTTGGCTTAAAAAACTAATCAGAACGCAGACACAGCTCGATGGTAGAGCATGTGCCAGGCCCTGGGTCCATCCCTGATACACCACATACAAAATGAAATAAATCCACCTTGCCTTTATATAGTGTTCTCATATGCAGCCTCAGCTGCAAAGACTGTGCCTGGAGATGGTATATTGCACACACCATCCTTTCTCTTGACTGTGCACTTTCTCCTTCTAGCTGGTTATTTTTGAGTTTCTAAAATTAATTTTTTTGGTGAGTCCCATCAAACCAGGTACTTTGTGTGCATATGGAAATTATGCCTCAGGGGCTAGGATGTGGTTTGTGGTAGAATATATGTCTAGCATGCAGGAAGCTGGCATTCAATTTCAAGAAATTATAAAGTTGATTTAGAAAATTAAAAAAGCCATGGGGCTGGGAAGGTAGCTCAGTGGTAGGGCGCTTGCCTTGCATGTATGAGGCCCTGGGTTCGATTCCTCAGCACCACATAAGCAAAAAGAAAAAAGCCGGAAGTGGCGCTGTGGTTCAAATGGTAGAGCGTTAGCCTTGAGGGACAGTGCCCAGGCCCCCCAGAGTTCAGGCCCCACAACCAGACCCCCCCTCCCCAAAAAAAAGCCAAACTGGAAAAACTCTGTCACCTGCTTGTGTCTTTAGTGCATCAGGTAAAGTTGAAGAGGGATGAGTTTGATAACCCCACTCTCCTGAGCCAGTTTGCATAACTGTTCTACAGCAAGCCCATTCAAGTCCCCGTGTGCTTTCCACCTAACCAGAACAAGCTGTGTATGACATATGTAGTCCTGGCTGTCTTTGACCCTTAAATAAAATGCTGAATGTAAGTTCTATTTCTGCTCATTTAATTAATTAATTAATTATTGTCGGTCGTGAGGCTTGAACTCTGGCCCTCGGTGCTGTCTCTCAGCTCTTCAGCTCAAGGTGAGTGCTCTACCACTTGAGCCACAGTGCCACTTCTGGTTTTCTAGTGGTTTATTGGATATAAGAGTCTCATGGACTTTCCTGCCTGGGCTGGCTTTGAACCATGATACTCAACCTCAGCCTCCTGAGTAGCTAGGATTACAGGCCTGAGCCACTGGCACCTGGCTCTGCTCATTAAAGACATATTTATATGGGTAATGGTTATTAATTTTTGCTGCCTATCATAGAGTATTATATTCTATAATCTATCACACTTTTTTGGGTGTACGAGGTACCCAGAGCCTTGCACACACTGGGCATGTGTAGCCCCTTATTCTACTGAACACAAAGGGGCTGTGCAAAGAATGTTGCTGTGAACTTCCACCACCACCACCTCTGCCCCCATACTGGGGCTTGAAATCAGGGCCTGGGCGCTGTCCCTGAGCCTCTTCAGCTCAAGGTGAGTACACTACCATTTGAGCCACAGCACCACTTCCAGTTTTCTGTTAGTTAATTGAAGAGTCTCACGGAGACTTTCCTACCCAGGCTGGCTTTGAACTGCAATCCTCAGATCTCAGCCTTCTGAGTAGCTAGGATTTCAGGTGTGAGCCACCAGCAACTGGCTCCAGCTTTTTCTGAGTAGTTTGTTGGAGTTAAGTCTCACAGATGGGCTAAGAATGTGGCCTAGTGGTAGAGTGCTTGCCTAGCATGCATGGGTTGGATTCCTCAGTACCACATAAACAGAAAAAGCCAGAAGTGGCACTGTGGCTCAAGTGGTAGAGTGCTAGCCTTGAGCAAAAGAAGCTCAGGGACAGTGCCCAGGCCCTGAGTTCAAACTCCAGGACTGGCAAAAAAAAAAGATTCTCAGACTTTCCTGCCTTGGCTGGCTTCAAATCGCAATCCTCAGATCTCAGCCTCCTGAGTAGCTAGGAATACAGGCATGAGTCACTAGCACCTGGTGCTGTTGACATTCTTGTGGCTCCGAGGTAGTAGCATGTTAACTCATTCATGCTACACGAAATTTATGAAGTGCCTCACAGTCACTTCTCCACTTGTCCCCCATCAGTTGGCACATTTTCATATTCTAACACTTGTGCCACCTAAGTGTTAGGTGAGGAGCCGATGTTTAAGGCTCACACTGTGCTAACCAGCCAAGGGCTTTGTGCGGTGACGTTTCCCTCCCAATAACCTATCACGAACATGCCTCTTACGGCCACAAGCTCAGGTTTTTGTCTTGCCCTGCCCGCCCCCACCTCCAACTTGGTTGTGGGGCGTGGCGGGTGGGGAGGGGGAGGAGTCTTAGCAGACCTCCAAACACCTGTGGACCTCTTCTTCTTTAGGCTGTTACTCCCTGTCAGTCCGACTCAGCCGCCCTGCGTCGTGGGACCGGATCAAACACTATAGGATCCAGCATCTTGACAATGGCTGGCTGTATATCTCACCACGCCTCACCTTCCCCTCGCTCCAGGCCCTGGTGGACCATTATTCAGGTATGATTTTCTGCCTCCATAGAAAATGGAAAGGGGGCTAAAGGTATACTATCATGCTCTTCACCTGCTGGCTTGCTATCTAGACAGACTGAAGAGGAGCCCACGTTGTCCTCATGCCGCCCCTGTGCTGAGACCCAAGTGGAGACCCCACCCCGGGGCATGCGCACAGCCACTACTGCGCTCACCAGGGAGGTTTGCCCAGCAGCAGGCAGTTTCACACTTAAGAGCTCAGCTGAGCTGCTGCCTGGCCTGTAACCAAGGCTCAGCGTCAGGGTGAGAGGGGAAACTTCTCTTGGGAAATGGGAGCAGAAGCTTCTGCCAGACAAGGCTCCACAAAAACACTGAGAATTTCTTGGCTTCTTTTTCTTCCTCCCTTTCCTAATTAGAAATGAGGACCCCAAATTCAATCCGCTGGGCACAGGTCGTTCACACCTCTAGATTAACTACTTGGGAAGCAGAGATTGGTTGGATTGTGGTTTGAGGCCAGCTGAGGCAGAAAAGTTCATGAGGACGCCCTCCCCACTTCTCAACTGAGCTGGGCAAAGTTGTACACACCCATCATTTCCCAGCTACGACAGAGAGCCAAAAATAGGCAGACTGTGATCCAGGTATACACCAAGGCAGGAAGAGAGATCTTATCTCAAAAATAACCAGATAAAGGGCCTGCATGGCAAGTGTAAGATTCTGAATTCAGCTGGGCGCCGGTGGCTCACTCCTGCAATCCTAGCTACTCAGGAGTCTGAGATATGAGGATCGCAGTTCAAAGCCAGCCTAGGCAGGAAAGTCCATGAAACTCTTTATCTCCAATAAACCACCAGAAAACCCTAAGTGGCACTGTGGCTCAATTGATAGAGCGCTAGCCTTGAGCTGAGGGACAGTGCTCAGGCCGAGTTCATGCCCCACGATGGACCGCCCCCGCCCACCCAAAAAAGAAGATTGAGTTCAAATCCCAATACTGCCGGAAATAAAACAAAGTTCACAATGAGCCGGCACTGGTGGCTGTAATCCTAGCTACTCAGGAAATAGATCTGAGACTCTCAGTTTGAAGCCAGCACAGGCAGAAAAGTCCATGAGACTCATGTCCAATTAAGTCACAGAAGTGGTGCTGTGGCTCATGTGGTAGATACTAGCTTTGAGCTGTAGAGCTGAGGGACAGCGCCCAGGCCCAGAGTACAAGCCCCACAACTGAATAGTGAACTTCGTCTCCCAGAACAATCCCAACCACCTCTGATTGCTCTCAGCCTCCTTGAGAACAGCTTGGGTCTCACACTCTTGTATGGAAAGGTGCCAGGACCAGGGGTCCTGAAGACACAGGGCTTGTGTCAGCAGTGGCAAGAGGCTGAATCTCTTTCCTAGAGCTGGCGGATGACATCTGCTGCCTCCTCAAAGAGCCCTGTGTCCTGCAGAAGTCTGGCCTACTCCCTGGCAAAGACATGCCCCGACCTCTGACTGTGCAGAGAACAATGCTCAACTGGAAAGAGTTGGACAGGTGAGGAAAGCCGTGGGGACGCGAAGGCAGAGCAGTACTCAAGAACTGAGTAGGTCTGTGGCGCAGAGGGATACCTGGGAGCACTCAGAGCCCACTGCAGGCTCTATATGCATTTAGTGAATTCAGCTGTGAATTCAGTGTCGTCAGATACAGACCCCCCCTCCCCCGCCCCGCAACTAGGGTGGGAAGAAAGCTGGGGGATGGGGGCAGAGTGCTGAATGAGGAGGTGAAGATGGGAAGCTGATCTGTCAGGGAGGAAAGCCTTTTAGTTATCAGCAGGCGTGAACTGCATGGGGAGCACAGAGAGGGCACCCTCACCCGGATTCTTCCTTGTCCTCAGCTCCTTCCTGTTCCTGGAAGCTCCTGCCTCAGGGGAGGTGTCTCTTCTCAGCGAGGGGCTCCGGGAGTCCCTCAGCTCCTATATCCGTCTGTCTGAGGACATTTCCTTGGATGATGCCAAGGTCAAGATCAGAGGCGGAAAGGACTGAGCACCACCGAGGCAATGTTGTGCACGGTGAGCAGAGGGCTAGGGCACAGCTGCATCCAGGACTCCACCTGAACTTTTGCTACTTCCTCTCTTGGTGCTAAGAAATCACTCCCCTTCTCTCCAGCCTTGACCCTGCCTGTAACCTCTAGTTCAAAGCCAGGGCTCCAGGGAATGTCTAGGGTCTGACCTAATCCATTTGCCATTGGGACATCACCTCAATCCTGGTCTCCCGAATCCCATCCTACATCCTATCCTGTATGCCCACTGCCATACTACATGGTAGAAACCACCAACAGCATCAAGGGAAAAAAAGATCATTTTCAAAAACTACAAGTCTCAGAAGAGAAAGGCGATCAGAGCGGCTGATGGCTCCCTACAGTAGCCTTCTCCTGCCAGCCTCAGATCTCAGATCATGTTTCTCACTGTGGCCTATCCTTCGGCCCTGGCTAACCTCTTCCAACTACTCTAGTTTTGCCATCTTGTGGCCAAATACAAAATGACAACTTTTGAGCCAGGTCCCTTTCTCAGTGCTTGGCATGTGTGTCAGAAGGTAGCAAACCCTTTTCATATAATGCCAAGACCAAAACTAGAGCCCATATCCCTAATGTCCACAAAGCCTGGCTACAGCTGCTAAGGAGGAAGGGAAGAAGAAGGGGGTGGGAGGAACCACCCCAAGGTGTCTACAGATTCTGAGGCCACAGCAGGAAAGGCTTCACCAGGCATGGTCAACAGGGTCGCAGTTAAAGACTTATTTATTCAAGCATCTGGAAACATTCTACAAGAAAGCTGTTACTAGATGTTGCTTGTACTGTGCTACAACCCGCACATACTGCCATCTGTTTTCAGAAGACTTGAAATGCCACTGATAGTTTAAAAACTGTACAACTGATGGAGAACCAAGGAAGATAATTTAATGATGCATCCGGATCCAGAGGTGTGTCAAATTAAAGAACAGCTCCGCTCTGCAAATGGCTGGTACATGATGGTATCCAAGAAGAAATGGTTGATGATGGACAAATCCAGAAATGCCTTCTCAAAGGTAGATGGTTCTTTAAAAAGTTTTGGGTCACAACCCTTGCAGAAAACCCTGACTCTCGGTCCAGGAAATGCAGGTCTCCCAGGTTCCGTGTGGCAGAGGCGCCCCAACAATCATGTTTCTGTGCTCGATTTATGAGGGTCCTTTGGACTGGATAGGGGGCAGGTGCAAGCTGTCCACCATCAGTCATAGTGGATAGCAGTGTAAAAGATGATCCAAATGACCTAGAGGAGAGACAATGTTCACAGGTCACGGATGAAAATGTCAGGTGAGAGAGAATGTATACAGAGCACCCCCCAGGAGTGAGTGTTTCATCTACCTGAAGGCTTGCCGTGATTCACTGAAATCAGGCTGTCCCTGACACAGCTCAGGCTTGCTGGCCTTGGCTTCCAAATGGCCCCCGACTACTCCCTCCCCCTCATGAGTCAGGGTACAGATGAAGAACTAAAACAAGGAAAGCTACATGGCTAGCAGGTGTTAGGGTTAGCAACAAACGTGAAGATATAACCACCACCATGCTGAACCAGCTTCTGATCAGACTTCCCACCACAACCTCTCAGACTTTCCTTTAAATTACATGCTGTATGGGGGCTGGGGAGGTGGCTCAGTGGTAGAGCGCTTGCCTTACATGCCTGAGGCCCTGGGTTCGATTCCTCAGCACCACATAAGCAAAAAGAAAAAAGCTCGAAGTGGTGCTGTGGCTCAAGTGGTAGAGCGCTAGCCTTGAGCTGAAGAGCTGAGGGACAGTGCCCAGGCCCAGAGTTCAGGCCCCATGACCGGACCCAAAAAATAAGAATAAAAATAAATTACATGTTGCAGGGCCACATCTCAAAGATTTCCTTGTCTGGACCAGGCTCTAGACGCAGGAAAATATATAACTTAAAAAACAACTTTGAAATTCCATTAAAGTTTACACTTTTTTCAAAGTGTACAATTCAGAAGATTTTTACTAAAGTTCTACAAGTATTCCCTCCTACAAATATCCCTCTGGGACAAAACTCCATTCCCACGATTAGCATTTGCTCCCATTCCTCCCTCCCTCTATTCAGCCACTAGTGACCACTAAACCACATTATGGACATTTTACATAAATGGAATCCTGTGGTCTTTTGTGTAGCGATTCTTCCACTTAGCATGTTTTCAGAGCTCACTCATGTTGTGGCATGTAACAAGGCTAATCTTTTAAAGAAATTCTCAGTACATTCTGCTGGATGAACGTACACTAACTTTATCCATCTATCAGGTGATGGCGACTTGTGTGGCTGGCACTTTTTAGCTATGATGAGTAAATGTGTCACCAGGATAAGAATCAGATGTAGCTGCCTACAGAATTCACATGTTACGTAGAGATTGTACTGTGTATCTCATTTTTTGGACAACCTGGCTCAAGACACATAGGTGATGCCCTCCAGCCTCAAGAGCCTCTTAAAAAATGGCACCCAAGCCCAGAGTGTAAGTCAATCAGTGGCCTGCCTGAGTGACTGACATCTCATGAAATGGGCAGAACCTGCTATTAAACTGCTAGCTGCACATACCATGAACAAGGCAAAAGAAGTCATAAACCCTTCTTTCGTGAGCTCCCATGTGCCGCCATACTCTTCCTCGTCAATCTGTAGGTAGTTGCTGAAATAAAGGTACAGGACTCCAGCATTTATCAGGCAGAATCTGGAACAAGGGAGAACAGATACCAAACACAAACCGTAAGCTTCAAAGACCCAGCCCCCACCAGCATTTCTCAGCTCTGTTAAAATAACTGATATATACCACACCTCACTGTCCTGTGTACTCCCTATACTCCCCAGCTAGTCAGGGATGACCTGGAGAAGCTCCAGGCTCAGGAAGATGGGTTCAATGTCACTGTTATGAGACCCAGTGCCAGCTGCTTGCCATAGGTCTCAGCTCTTCCATCTGTAAAATGGGGAGGCTAAAGAGTATGAGGGGAGAGGCAAACGAATATACAAATACAGAAATACACAAAAACACCCAGGTCCCCAATAAAGTCACCCATCCAGCTGAGTTACAAGATTCAGTGAGTGAGCAGCTATTCTTAGTCAACCAGCAAAAGCAAAATGAAAAAACTTGAAGTAGGGTCTGGTAGACTGCTGGCCTAGCATGCATGGGGTTCTGGGTTCCAACCTTAGTGCCACACACACAAAAAGTACACACAAATCCCTCAAGTCCCCTTCGGGCAAGGCAGAATTAAGGTAAGGGTGCTGAGCAACCTAAGAAAGTCCTATCTATACTGGCCATGGGCCTTCACAGCTCTGGCTCAAGGTTGGTCAGAGGACACATTATGTTATTCTGCTTCTTCATGGTCTAGCCAAGGAAGCAATAGTGCATGTGGCTGCACAAGAGGGGGAGTGCATTTCTGGATACCTACTGCGTGTCTCTGTTCCTACTGTAAACTAAGCATGCATGCTTGCCTCAGCCCACCACCCACTAAGAAGCCAAGAGCAACAAGAGTGACATTAAAACAGTAGGCATTATTTAGGAACCTATTTAAATAGAATTTTACAAATTGATTTGTAAATTTGTAAGGCAGGATAATAAAGCAATTAATGTTGATCTAAAATAAAATAAAATAAAACCAGTAGGCATAGGCACCACAGGAAAGTCTCTGACCTCCATAGTGTAACTGTTGCAGGAATTGAAATGTAGTGAGCATAAACACTACCCTGCTCTCCTCTCTTGTTGACATCCTTTTTTTTTTTTTTTTTGGTCAGTCCTGGGGCTTGAACTCTGGGCCTGGACACTGTCCCTCAGCTTTTTAGCTCAAGGCAAGCACTCTACCACTTGAGCCACAGCACCACTTCCCGTTTTCTGGTGGTTAACCGGAGAAGAGTCTTATGGACTTTCGGCTGGCTTTGAACCATGATCCTCAGATCTCAGCTTCCTGACTAGCTAAGATTACAGGCATGAGCTACCAGCATCTGGCATCATCAAGACTTACTGAATGTCTAACAGGGAACCATGTATCTGAGACCAGCAGAAATGGACAATGCAAAGACTAAGGTAGCTCAAGGGTAGACGCATGCTAAGCCTATTTGAGGTCCTTCTCAATGGATGAAGTATGGGCTAGTGTAAGGTAGTGCAATGGTGTTTGTTGGATGTACCCAAGGGGAAGCTGGTAAGCAGGGTGTGCTGATCAGTATTAATTGAGCAGTAAGTGTGTGGGTGAGTTAATGAGGGGAGAGAGGGGAGGGGATGGATGATTTTATACCTGTACTCATGTTTCAGAAGAGAGCAAATACAGCTTGAAGAGGGACTGGGCAACTACTGAACAAGGAGCCACAGGCTTTACACCAAACCCCTGGGAGTACAATGGTTCTACTAACAGAGACAGTGAGTAAGGAAGAACACAAAATACAGTTCTTGGTTTGGCCATAATGAGCCTATCTCCTGCCAGAAATCTTGGGACCCAGCCAATGCCAGGAGGTTGATTTGGAGCAGGCTAAGGGGCTCTGGCTAGAGATGAGTGATGGGAACTGGAAATAACTCTGTTAAGGAAAAGAGCTCCACACATGATGGGCAAGCCATGCCAAGGCATGCTCACTCCCACACACCCTCTCCCATTTTCTCAGCCATATGTCTTTATAAGGCTAACTGTAGGTGATGGCATTCAGTGAACCATTTATGATGTACCAAACACTGCATTCAACAATCTACTTGCATCATCGCTCCTGCTTACCTTTCAGTCACACTAAGTACCCCATTTCAGAGGTAAGCTTAAAATTGGCATATGTAGAACTTATATAGCCACCCTGAAGGAGGATCGGTCAGGCACAGCAGGAGAAATACCAACTCTGGTCCTTTACAATGATTTCCACACAGGGTAACATACGAGAAATCCTTTATGAATCTTGCGAAGAGCAGATAGGTGCAGGGCTCTCCTAGTCTAGTGGCTTTGGGAAGATGAGAAAAACCCTTGTCTTTAGCTTGTTTTTCTCTTCTTGTGGCAGTCTCCTCTCTGCTTTGATTCACATCCTAACTATTCAGGAGGCTGTGATCTGAGGATCCCAATTTGAAGCCACCTGTGGCAGGAATGACCATGAAATTCTGATTTCCAATTACCAAAAAAACCCAGAAGTAGTCAGACGCCAGTGGCTCACGCCTGTAATCCTAGCTACTCAGGAGGCTGAGATCTGAGGGTTGTGATTTAAAGCCAGCCCAGGTAGGAAACTCTGTGAGATTCTTACCTCCAATAAACCACTAGAAAACTGAAGTGGCTCTGTGGCTTGAGCAGTAGAGCGCTTACCTTGAGCTGAAGAGCACAGGGACAGTGCCCAAGCCCACAGTTCAAGCCCCATGACCGACCAAAAAAAAAAAAAGCAAGGAGTGATACAGTGGCTCAAGTGGTTGTACACCAGCTGAGCAAAAGAAGCTCATGGATAGTGCCCAGGCCCTGAGTTCAAGTCCCAAGACTGGCACCAAAAAGTTGGTTTTTAAATTAAAAAGCAGGGCCCTCTACTTTCACAATAGCCATCTTAAATTACTTCTAACACATCTTTCTCATTCAATCTGACGAGCACAGTAGCTTGTTAACATACTAAGCAGTCACCAGGAGCTGGTGGCAACTGTGCTGCCACAGCAAGAAAAACATGGAAGGCCCAACCTTCTACTCTGGGCTGCTTTTCCAATGTAAAGACCTGAAATAGTTTTTGCCAAAGTCAAGATTCAGTACAGTGCCAGGCACAAGGGAGATGATTATTAGGTTTGTCAGTTCCTCTAGGTCCCAAATTTCCATGGGGAACAAGGCTATGCCACAATTGGAGTATGCTACCAACAAGGAGCTTCTTACAGGAAATAACTTTAGAGCCAAGAATGACTAGACTGGCTAAGTCATCAGCAAGGCACCAGGCCTGACCTGAGATGTTCCTGGGTTGGATGAACTGAAGAGCAACCTACCAGACTCAGCAGTGCTGCTGTGGAACCCACATCTTTGTGTCCACACACACAGCCCTCTCCCCAGAGGGAAAACAAAACCTGTTTTTCCAAGGAAAAGAGCCAAGTGTGGTATTTTACACCTGTAATAGAACTTGAGAGGCAAAGAAAGAAGAACTGCCCAGTTCCAAGTGAGCTTGGATGACACAGTGAGGCTCTTTCCCAACAACAAAAATGAAACCAAGAAAATGTGAGATACCTAAGACTTACCCTGCTATTCCCAAAAAACCTCGTAATGGCAAAACTCCCCAAATGACACCCAGGACCACAGCAATGATCTGTCGGAACCAGTAGATCACATCTAAAAATTCATCCTGCAGGAGAGAGAGAGAGCACGCATTATCTGGAGTGAGTGCCACAGGGCAGCCATAGGTGGGTAATGGAAAAACTTCCTAGGACTATTTCCCCTTCCCCTTAAAGCCATGCCAAGAGCGTCTTTCTTGCATCACCTCAACTGGTAGTAAACAAATCTATTTAGATACCTTAAACAATTACTTTCAGAGTAGGGGCTCTAAATCAAAACTTTATAGAGAAATCGTTATTTTTTAAGAAGCTGCACAAACAAAATAGCTTCTAATGAAATGGCTATAATAATAATTGTGCCACTGGCCACAAACAACTCTTAGAGGACTAAGGAAGAACCCAGGGCCTGGGCTCTGTCCCTGAGCCTCTCAGTGCTCAAGGCTAGTGCTCTACCACTTGAGCCACAGCTCCACTTCCAGACTTTTCTGTTTATGTGGTACTGAGGAATCAGACCCAGGGTTGCATGCATGCTAGGCAAGCACTCTACCACTAAGCCACATTCCCAACCCCAGAAAAGCTTTTAACTTAATTCAGTACCACCTTCCTATACACTGAATTTTTACTCAAGTCACAAAAGAAAGAAAAGATTAAGAACTGAAATGGTCGAGGCAGGTGCCAGCAAATCTAAATTTCACAGGGTACTGAAGAGTTAGGCTTTTGAGGTTTCTTATGCCAGGAAAGGAAGAAATGACACAGCAGATCACAGAGTGCAGGTTTTGCAAGAGCTGGGCAGGGCTGGGGGCCGGACAAGGGCACCTTCAGGAAATGCTTCCCCTCCCCCTTCTCTCCCCCCCCCCCCCCCCAGCCGGAACTGGAGGAAAACTCAACTTTGGCACTATGGAGAAACAAAAGAAGGACTGCAGCTCTAAGAAGCTTTTCAAGCCACCTGGAACGAAGCTGCTTGGGGCAGATCCTTCCAGGTCCTGGAGGAGAGGTGGTAAGTAGACACACTCAGACCCTGAGCATGGGACCAGCAAGAACATCCCGAAGCCCCACATCCATCTCTCACACACATCCGGCAGCAGTACTTCTTCTTCCTCTCACTCACCCCAAAAGGCGATCTTTGGACTCAACTAAGGCACCGAGTCTTCCTGTTTAACAAGCCAGCGAGCACGGTAGTGCGCCGCGGCCCCCACTCGGGGTCGGCCGGCGAGTCAGGGGATTGATTGCTCCCGGACAGAGTCTGGCACCGTTCCGATTTGCCAACCTTCTCAAGATCGTGCCGGGAGGAGGAAGGAGAGTCCAGCTCTCCCTCCGGATCGGGTATACGGCCCGACTGCGGACGTCCAACTCTCCAGCCCCGACCTCGCCGCTTTCCCCCAGAGCCCGAGGCCGCCCGCAGCCCCGCACCTCGTCCTCCCCGGGCCCCCGCACCTTGTCGTCCCAGGCCGCGTCGCTCCGCAGCGCCTTGCTCCACACCGACACGCGGAGGGCCCCGTTGGCCAGCTGTGGCTGAGGCGGCTCCTCCTTCCGCCGCCCGCCGCTCATCCTCCCGTCGCGCCGGCCGGGCCGGGCCTGGGGCGCGCGGGCCGAGCCAAAAGGAGTCGGGGTGCGGGGTCGCGGGTCACGTTGCGTGGTGACAGCGACAGGCTCCGCAGTGCGATCTTGCGACGCGACGCGGCGCGGCTCCCCTTTCGATCTCAGCCGAGCGGCCGGCTCCGCTCGCTCCGCCGAAGCACCACTGAGGGAAGGGCGGCGCCGCGCAGAGTCGCGTCCTGCGGCCGACGTGCGCGCGCAGCCAATCAGCGGCCACGCCGCCCCCCGAGCGCGCGCCGCGGGGCGGAAGTGACGACAACCTTCCGCCGACCGCGCCGCACGGTGAGAAGGAAGGGACAAGGTTAGGGGCTGCCGGAGCGCGAGTAGACACTCGTGGGGCCAGGGCAGGGGTTCCGCGTGAGTGTCGCCCGCTCGGCTCTTCCACCTTGGTCCCCAGGATCCCCCAAGTTGTCCCCCAGGACTAAGACCCTACCCTTTGTCCCCTAAACCTTGTTCACGACTGTGGACTCCTTTCAGGGCGTGTTGGGGCCCGTCTGCAACCCCAGAACTCGGGGAACATGGGCAGAGGCTCGGGAGATCGAGGCCAGCCTGGGCGACACGGCGAGACTATATTCAGAAGGCGAGCCCTGGGCTGGGACGGTGCCTTGCCCGCATGAGGCCCTGGGTTCGACTCCTCAGCACCACCTAAGCAGAAAAACCCGGCACTGGCGCTGAGGCTCAAGCGGTCGGGGCTCGCCTTGAGCTGAAGAGCGGAGGGACAGCGCCCAGGCCGAGTTCAGGCCCACGACCGACCAAAAAAGAGGCAAGCCCTCCCGGCGATGCAGACCGCTCCGCCTGTGCAGTACATCGGGGTAGCAGGGGGTTTACCCGATGGCAGGACCGGTGCGCCGCTCCCTCCGGTTCTAACTCTTAAAACAGTAAGGTCAGAACGACCATATGTGGTTCTTCGCTTAAGCAAGCAATAGAATCTCCTAGCGAGCGTCCTTAGAAAATCATCCGGGTATTTTTCTCTCACAAGGTTTTTTTTTTTTTTAATTTTTGGGTCCGGTCGTGGGGTCTGAACTCTGGGCCTGGGCGCTGTCCCTCAGCTCTTCAGCTCAAGGCTAGCGCTCTACCACTTGAGCCACAGCACCACTTCCGGCTTTTTTCTTTTTGCTTATGTGGTGCTGAGGAATCGAACCCAGGGCCTCAGGCATGCAAGGCAAGCGCTCTACCACTGAGCCACCTTCCCAGCCCCTCTCACAAGGTTTTCCCCGCCACTCCAACCCCGATACTAGGGTTTGAGCTTAGTGCCTCTATCACTTCAGTTAACCCAGCCCTTGATTAAGTCCATAATGAATCTGTACATTACTTCTTGTTGAGTATTGACATCTTGGCAATAGTGTCTCCCGAGATATTTACTTGTCTTTACTATCTTTCCTGTTTTATCTTGAATGCACTCACAGTATGTAGCTCAGGAGGCTGGGTTAGATCCTCCTGCATCGGCCTCGAGTGCTGGGATTATAGATACATGCCACTTAGATTTTAGTTTACAAATCTTGATCACCTTAGTATAAATTTTTGATGCTTTTGTAAATGGCATTCTTGCGGTTGCTTGCTGTAAGCACTCAGAAATAAAACCAGTTTTTGTATCCTGCAACTTTGTTGAATTTACTAGCTCTAACCGTTTCTTAATGGACTCTGTGAAGATTTCTGCATATAAGAACATATCATCTGAGCTGGGAATGTGGCTCCGTGGTAGAGTACTTGCCTAGCATGCATGAAGCTTTAGGTTTGATTCCTCAGTACCACATAAATAGAAAAAGCCTGAAGTGGCACTGTGGCTCAAGTGGTAGAGTGCTAGCCTTGAGCTGAAGAGGGACTGCGCCCAGGCCGAGTCCAAGCCCCATGACTGACATAATATATCATCTAAGCCAGGTGCTGGTGTCTCATGCCTGTAATCCTAGCTACTCGGGAGAGGCTGAGATCTGAGGATCGTGGTTCAAAGCCAGCCCAGGCAGGAAAGTCCATGAGACTCTTCTATGTATATATCATCTTTGGACATGTAACTTCTACAGGGAAAAAGACAGCAATTATCTTTGTGCCATCTTTGTGAAGTCTATCTCAAAGGTTTAAGGTGTGTTTACTTGGGAATGGGGAAAATTAGACTTGTCCTTAGATCCTGAAGTGCAGACTAAAGTCACACAGCAAGTGAGAGGTTAAATAGGGGCTTGAAACTTGATGCGAATTTTCAAGAAGCAGCCAGTCTGTAAGCCTTTGCCTGGAACATATTTGAGGCTCACAATAATTCTGTTTTTACCCTAGGTATTCCTTAGGAAGTGGGGAAGCTGGCTGAAGCCCACCTCATCTGTATGCTTAAAATAAACATCGTGGGTAGTCTAAGATGGAAAAGTACTTACTGGGGCTGGGAAGGTGGGTTGGTGGTAGAGTGCTTGCCTTGCATGTCTGAGGCCCTGAGTTGGATTCCTCAGCATCACATAAACAAAAAGAAAAAAAAAAAAAAGCCAGAAGTGGCACTGTGGCTCAAGTGGTAGAGCGCTAGCCTTGAGCTGAAGAGCTGAGGGACAGTGCCCAGGTCCAGAGTTCAGGCCCCACAACTGGACCCCCCAAAAAAATAGAAAAAAAAGAAAAGAACTTACTGAAGAGTCAAGCTCTGGGAGTGGAAGATTTAGAAGTTGGACATTTGGCTTTGTGAAACATTGGGTTTTAGTGCCAAATGAATATGTGGTCTCTCTCTCAGCCTTAGAGCACAGGGCATCCTCCCAGTTGAAGCAGTCTACCTCCCTGCCAGCTACCTAGAAATGGAACTTGGAGAGGCAGGTATACTTTAAGGGGTAAGTGTGGCCTCCAACACCTACAGAAACCAAAGTCCTGTGGGAACGCTACCAGCCTCCAAAAGAGCACTTTCTGTGAAGTAGAGGTTTAACCTTAAATCTTGATCATTCTCACAGGAAGTGCTACTCACAATGAACTTTACCAGAGCACCCTCATTTGCTAAATGGTTTACTTTTTTTTTTTTTGGCCAGTCCTGGGGCTTGAACTCTAAGCCTGGGCACTGTCCCTGAACCACAGTGCCACTTCCGGCTTTTTGTGTATGTGGTACTGAGGAATCAAACCCAGGGCTTCATGCATGCAAGGCAAGCACTCCACATTCCCAGCCCTACATTTGTTTTCCTACAAATGTTTGCTGAGCTCTTACCCTTTTATTTTCAATTTGTGTACAGTAAATGTGGGTTGGGAAGATGGTGGTGGAGTTTGAATTCAAGGTCTTGCCCTTGAGGAGTTCTACCACTTGACCCTCTTCCTTCTTTTTCTTGAGACAGTTGCCATGTACATAGCCAGAGCCAGCTTCCACAGCTCCACAATTTATAATGCCAAGTGTCTGGATTCCAGGTGTGTACCACTAGGGCCGACTTTTGTAGTTTATGTAAATTAAAGCTGCCTCTTGGGAAACTTGAGTGCAGTGGTGCCCATCTAAAATCTTAGCTGCTCTCAGTTCCAGGCCAGCTTGGGCAAAAAATTAGCAGAACCTGTGAGAAAAGTATCTTTTCTATCAAAGTAGTTTGCTTCTTTTCTGGGTTAGTTTTTTGTCGGTTGTGGGGCTTGAATTTAGTCCCTGAGCTCTTTTGCTCAAGACTAACACTCTACTACTTTGAGCCACAGCTCCACTTCCTGTTTTCTGGTGGTTCATTGGAGACAGAGTCTCACAGACTTTCCTGCCTGGGCTGGCTTTGACTCAGGATCTTGGCGAGGATTGGGCCACCAACAGAGCCACCCCTGGCTCTGTTAATCTTGAGACTTGTTTTTGTGGGAAGTTCCTGCTTTGGCTAGGTGGCTTGGCCCTTGCTAATTACATTTTGGTCACATAATTTTCCAGCTGCTCTTCAGTCCTGTTAATTAAGCCACACCCTTTTGCAGATTTATGAACCTGGGCCAGCTCAGCCAATATGGGCAGAGGCAGGGCCTGCTGGGTTAGGGTTAAAAAGGGAGCAGCCTGTCTGCTCTGTGACTGATACTACTCCCTTCTGCAAAAGTAAACTTTGCCCTGCCAAGTTCCTTGTGAGTTGGTGTCCTTATTGCCCCAACACCAACATCTAAGCCATTTCTAACAGGACCCTATCTAAAGAACTAATCAGGAGGGGTGGTGTCAGGAATCTCAGATGTACACAGAGGCTTGAGTAGAAGAGTATGGTTAGAAGCCACTTGGCCAAAAGTTGGGGGACCCCATTTGAAAAATAAAAAAAGACTCAGGGGTATGGCTGAAGTGATAGAGCATTTGCCTAGTAAGCTTAGGCCCAAGTTCATACCCTAGGTACCGGGAAGTACCCTCAGTATTCTGGGAGACACCTCCTACCCCCAACATACATGGATAACAAAAGCCAAAGATGCTGCATTTTATAAAATAGTATTTGAACTGGGTGCCAGTGGTTACGCTTGTAATCGTAGCTGCTCAGGAGGCTGAGAATCATGGTTCAAAGCCAGCCCAGGGAGAAGAGTCCCCAAGATACTCATGTCCAATTAACCACTCAAAAACCGGAAGTGGCACTGTGACTGAAATGGTACAGCACTAGCCTTGAGCACAAAGAGGCTCAGGGACAGCGTCCAGGCCAAGTTCAAGTCCTGCAGCTCACAAAAATAAAGTATGAGTAACCTATACAATTGTGCTTTATTCTTTGAGTCATCTCTACATATAATACCTAAGTCAAGTAAATGCAATATAAATAGTTGCCATGTTATTTACAATTAATAATTCCAAAAATGATAAGCAAAGTCTCTATGTGGTCAGTGACACACAATTTTGGTTAAGTCGATGATAGGGAAATCTGAGTAAGGAAGGTGGAATGATTAAATTGAAAAATCTTTGTATGGCTACACTTGACCTCCAGGTCACCAGAGAACAGAGGTAGAAATGTGTATGAGGTCTTTCTTGGCTGGTCATGGTGATGTGTACCTGTAATCACAGAAGGGCAGCCAAGGGCACTGATCTTGAGTTCCAGGTAGCAGTGCTGGCCACTTTATCCTGCCAACTTTCGTTACCAGTTTGACTTTTTGGTTCTTTGAAAAGCCTATATAGAAGTCCTTTCTTAGGTAACTGAACCCTGTACAGCTCTTCTTTCCTGGGGTGTTGTCAATTTTCTATTGCTGCTGACAAAATCCCTGAAAAACAATGTAAAGATTGGCTCTGGCTCAG